ACATATCATAATCTCTTTGGGTGTGTAAACATGATTTAAGGTATGAACCACAGTGTACGTAAAAAACAATACGACTGCTGGTACAATAAGTTTAAACCATGATGTATTATATGAAATTTTTCTTGATAACTCTCCATCTAAGTCATTAAAAATTGTCAAGATTACTTCCCAACTTTTTAAGTTGAATGAAGACCTCAAAATTGTAGCAACAAAAAAAATACACTCATTCGTGGTTTGAATGGCATCCATATATTTGCGTTTGGTAGGAATCACCGTATAAACTGTAATATTTCTTCCATAAATTGAGACACAAAACCATGTTAAGTACATTAAGATACAAAATGCGGCATACAACTTGTTAAAACCGTTATTTTTTCGGGTAAAAGGCGTTAGCCCAAATAATTTACCAAAATTACTGTAAAAATTAAGAAAGAAAACATCGTTTTTCGTCATGATGTTCTACTATGTAGATATAAATAATTGTTGTAGTAATACATAAAAAATGTTTTAACGTAAATAATCAACTTAAAAGCTATTATATTTTATTACATATATTATTTCTGTCAATTGCATTATTATAATAAGGTGGAAAGTGTCCATAAGTCATGTTTAATTATGATTAAAACAACGTGAAACAGTAAAAATCATTAAAATCGCTTTAAAATTGTAGAACATTTAATGTTGGCTGCTTTAGTGTCTAGACTCGAGAATATGCGACTTATACAAATATATTGCAATTTAAATTTATATTAGTTTATATTTATCTTTAAACCACCTAATCTTACACTTTGGGGTAATTTCATATAAATGGTTGGCTTTTAATAAAAAACTTTAATGTGCACTACTAAATAAATGATATCAAATATATTGTTTTTTAATAAAAAATTAAATAATATTTTTTTATTAATAAACAGGATCCTTCGTAAAATCGATTGAGTTATTAAATTGTAATACAATTATCATGTAGGATGTTAAAGATGAAAACATATTAACCAAAGTGCTTCTATTAACAAAATAAAAACCAGCCGCTGAAACTTTCGGTTCAAACTTTTTTAAACCATTATTAATTCTGTAAATTCTCAAATCAATTCTTTCATTCTCCAAGCACAAACGTTTTATACGACCAAAAAGTTGTTTCGTCTTTTTACTGGATTGCTCTATAGAATCACACGCTAATATAATAAGAACCGATGATGTCTAGAAAATAAAAAAAGTCGCGTTAAAAGCACCCAACAAATTTCACCAAAATCGAGTTTTTTCATTTAAAAACACGGTTTTCATGAAAAATACAGGGTATATCAATAAAAACTCGACATTTTTGAAATCAGCATACTCAGTTTAGTATACATACACAATTTCATTCAAATCGTACCATATTTGTGGAACTTGCATAGACTCAAGTCTGGACATTTAAGTGGCCAAAAAATCGTATCTCCTACAATTCTTAAGCGATTCAAGTAAAATTTGCAGGGTATACTAAGTAAAGTATGCTCATTTTACTACAACTTACAAAATATATTAACGTGAAACCGCTATATAAAATAGTTCTCTTTAAGTTCATATGTTTTTCAATAGAAAGGAATGCATCAAATAGGTTTAAAATAGTGTATGCTGTTGATGGTAAGCTGAAGAAAATCGGCCATCCGTATAGTTGATTAAAATTTTCGACTGCTTTATCGCATAATTCAAATAACTTTAAAGTGTTCTCCAAATTTTCTATGTATTTATTGTTGAAAAAGTTTTTTAAGATTAATGTTTCCAACGTCTCGTTTAGAATGACGATTCTTCTGTTGATTATGTAAGCTGTATAACATATTAATAAGGTTGAGTAGTTGTAACAAAAATTTGTTAACTCAAAAATATAATAATGGATCAGATAACTATTGGGTAAGTAAACATGATATAAGGTATGAAATACAGTGTACTCAAAAACCAATATAACTGCTGGTACAATAAGTTTAAAACATGATGTATTATAGGAATTTTTTTTTGATAGCTCTCTATCTAACTCATTGAAAATTGTCAAAATTGTTTCCCAACTTTTTAAGTTTAAATTGGAACTCCAAATTGTAGCAACAAACATTATACCCTCACTCACAGTCTGAAAGGCATCCATATATTTGCGTTTGGTAGAAAACGCTTTATAATTTGTGATATTTCTTCCATAAAGTGAGACACAAAGCCATGTTAAGTACAGTGAGGTTAAAAATGCGACATACAACTTGTTAAAACCGTTATTTTTTCGTGTGAAAGGCGTTAGCCCGAAAATCTTACCAAATTTACTGTAATAATAAAAGAAGGAAACATCCTTTTTTGACATGATGTTCTACTGGATAAAAATAATATTTGTAGTAAAATATAAAAATGTTTTAATGCAAATAATCAACTTAAAAGCTATTAAAGGTAATATATGTTATTAATGTCAATTGCATTATTATAATAAAATAGGAAGTGTCCATAGGCCATGTTTAATTATGATGAAAACAACAAAAACAGTAAAAAATCATTAAAATTGCTGTAAAATTGTAGAAGACATAATTTTGGCCACTTAAGTTTTCAGTCACGCTTGCGGCACGTGCTACACCCCTTTCCACACCGAACTTTTCGTGTAATTATAGTCACCTTCTTCCAATTTAAAACCTGATTGGTTCAAATCACAGTGAATATTGAAATCGGCCAATCACTTATGCAGTGTTGTAACGTATCTAGTTACAAGTAACTAGATACAGTATCTAGATACTTTTTATGTATCTGTTTGTGTAACTAGTTACTTATCCCAATCTAGTAACTATAACTGTAACTAGTTACAAATTCTAAGTAACTAGGTGTGTTAAGATACAAAGATACATTTTTAATTAAACTGCGACTATTATTTATTAAAAAAAAATATTATAAAAAATAAGTTATTTTAAATAAAATATTATAAAAAAAAATAAAAATAATAAACATGTATATTTTTGTTGTCACTTTAAAATTCCCTATTTTAAATTTTTTAAAGCAAAAAATAATTTGTATGTATCTTAAAGTATCTAGATACTTTTTGAAGGTAACTGTATCTGTAACTAGTTACTGCAATAAAATATGTATCTGTATCTGTATCTAGTTACAAATTTTGGTAAGTAACTGTAACTGTAGCTAGATACTGAAAATATTGTAACTGTTACAACACTGCACTTATGCCTAACAACGTGAATGCTGAGTTTATTATTCACGTTGTTAGGTAACAAACATGAAAATTAGTAAAATTAATGTTTTAAATTAGGTAATTAATTTAATTGCTGTTGAATTAAAATTTTATTTCATTTATTTTTTATTTTCTATAAATTGGTACATATATATTTTAGTTTTTTTATGAAAATAAAAATAATAATATAATTATTAATAAAAAGTTCTTTAGATTTTGCTATCCCTAGTCCTGACTGAAGAATAAAATTTTAAATTTATATTAGTTTATATTTATCTTTAAAACACATAATCTTACACTTTGGGGTAAAGCATGAAAATGGTTGGCTTTTAATAAATAACGTTAATGTGCACTACTAAATAAATGATATCAAATATACTGTTTTTTTATAGAAAATAAAATATTTTTTGTTTAATAAACAGTATCCTTCATAAAATCGATTGAGTTATTAAATTGTAATACAATTATCATGTATGATGTTAAAGATGAAAACATATTAACTAAAGTGCTCCTATTAACAAAATAAAAACCAGCCGCTGAAACTTTCGAGTCAAACTTTTTTAAACCATTAATAATTCTGTAAATTTTCAAATCAATTTTTTCATTTTTGATGCGCAAACGTTTTATACTACCAAACAGTTGTTTCGTCTTTTTACTGGATTGCTCTATAGAATCACACGCTAATATAATAAAGACCGATGATGTCTGGAAAATAAAAAAATCGCGTTAAAAGCACCCTACAAATTTCACCAAAATCGAGTTTTTTCATTTAAAAACACGGTTTTCATGAAAAATCCAAGGTATACCAACGAAAATAAGACATTTTTGAAATCAGCATACTCAGTTTAGTATACATACACAATTTCACTCAAATCGCACCATATTTGTGGAACTTGCGTAGACTCAAGTCTGGAGATTTAAGTGGCCAAAAAATCGTATCTCCTACAATTCTAAAGCGATTCAAGTAAAATTTGCAGTGTATACTAAGTAAAGAACACTTATTTCACTACAACTTACAAAATATATTAACGTGAAACCGCAATATATAAAAATTTTGTTGAATTCCATATATTTTTCAAAAGTAATTGATGCATCAAATAGGTTTAAAATAGTATATGCTGTTGATGGTAAGCTGAGGAAAATAGGCCATCCATATAGTTGATTAAAATTTTCGATTGCTTTATTGCATAATTCAAATAACTTTAAAGTGTTCTCCAGGTATTCTATGTATGTATTGTTGTAAAAGTTTTTTAGGATTAATGTTTCCAATCTTTTGTTTAGTATGATGATTCTTCTGTTGATTATGTATGCTGTATAACATATTAATAGGGTTGTGTAGTTGTAACAAAAATTCGTTAAATCAAAAATATAATAATATATCATAATCTCTTTGGGTGTGTAAACATGATTTAAGGTATGAAATACAGTGTACACAAAAAATAATACGACTGCTGGTACAATAAGTTTAAACCATGATGTATTATAAGAAATTTTTCTTGATAACTCTCTATCTAAGTCATTGAAAATTGTCAAAATTGTTTCCCAACTTTTTGAGTTTAAGGTGGAACTCCAAATTGTAGCAACAAAAAGAATACACTCAACCACAGTCAGAAAGGCATCCATATATTTGCGTTTTGGAGGAAACGATTCATAAACTATGATATGTCTTCCATAAAGTGAGGCACAAAACCATGTTAAGTACATTGAGATCAAAAATGCGACATACAACTTGTTGAAACCGTTATTTTTTCGGGTAAAAGGCGTTAGCCCGAAAATTTTACCAAATTTACTGTAAAAATTGAGAAAGAAAACATCGTTTTTCCTCATGATGTTGTATTAGATACAAACAATATTTTTAATGTGTAAAAATTGCTTATATGCAAATATAATAAACTTAAAAGCTATTAAAAGGATTATTCATGTCAATTGCATTATTATAATTATATATAAATGGGGTAATGTGGTATTATGATTAAAATAAAGTAAACTGTTTATAATAGAATTGTAGAATATACAGTTTTGTCTACCAATCCATCATTGAGCAACATAAATAAAAATACTTTAATATTATATTAATCTTTAAAAAAATTATAACTTACATACCTATTCACATAAAAATTACATAAAGTCAAAATTGGGCACGTCATCGAACGTGGAATTCTGATTGTTACCCTGATTGGGCATCTGTTGCCCCATTTGCGGTCTGGGCCCATTACCGCCCATTTGCGGGATACCCATTAACTGCTGTCTGTACTGAGGTTGCTTCAAAAATAATTTAAAACGTAAAACATGAAGAATTGGTAAAAAATAAGTACCTGTTGCAATAAATGCCTTAATCCTGGATTATTGCTCATTCCAGGCCTCATTAATCGTTGCTGTTGTGCACCTGGGTTGGGTTGTGGATTACCAGCTTGCCCCAATTGTCTTTGCTGCTAATTTAAAGAAAAAACAAATACGTTAATGGCCAACAAAAGCACGACATGTTTGTTGATACCATTAAAAAGTGCCTACTGAAATTAACAAACCCTGAAAATTTCATAGAAAAGCAACCACTTTTTGCATAGCTTTATTTTCAACAAAAATAGTCAGATTTTGATAAAAATTAAAGGTATTGACCAAATTGCCGTAATCATAATTTACGAAATTTTCTTAAATACCAATGAAAAGAAAATACTTAAATCAATAAACCATAAAAATTTCATAAGAATATAAACAAAATTAAAGATGTAACGCAGCTCTAAAAATTTGCCATAGCTTCAAAAACCTGTATATTCCACAAAAACATTTAGGTTTGCATAAAAATGCCATGCTCTTGCATAAAGTGTTAACCAAAAGTTTGGGATCGTAATTTTCCCATTAAACCACAAAAATATTGTTTGCAAATTGTATGGAATATCAACAAAAACAAGAATTTTTTGTTAATACCAATAACAAGAAAACACTTAAATCCGCAAACCATAAAAATTTAATAAAAATGCAAAGAAAATTAAACGCAGCTTAAAATTTTTCCATAGCTTCAAAACCCTGTATTTTCCACAAAAACAGATTTGGATGAAAATTACATTCTCTTACTAAAGGTATTGACCAATTTGTCGTAGTCATAATTTACGACATTTTCGTAATTACCAATAAAAAGAAAATACTTAAATCAATAAACCATGAAAATTTCATAAGAATCTAAACAAAGTTAAAGATGTAACGCAGCTCTAAAAATTTGCCATAGCTTCAAAAACCTGTATATTCCATAAAAACATTTAGGTTTGCATAAAAATAGCTCTTGCTAAAAGTGTTAACCAAAACTTCGGGATCGTAATTTTCCCATTAAACCACAAAAATATTGTTTGAAAATTGTATGGAATATTAACAAAAACACGAAATTTTTGTTTTTACCAATAAAATACTCAAATCCGCAAAACATAAAAATTTCATAAAAATGCAAAGAAAATTAAACGCAGCTTAAAATTTTTCCATAGCTTCAAAACCCTGTATCTTCCACAAAAACAGATTTGGATGAAAATTACATTCTCTTACTAAAGGTATTGACCAAATTGTCGTAGTCATAATTTATAAAATTTTCGTAAAGAGAATACTTAAACCAATAAACCATGAAAATTTGATTAAAATCCAAACAAAATCGAAGAAGTAAAGCAGATCTACAAATTTTCCATAGCTTCAAAAGCCTGTATCTTCCTCAAAAACGGTCAGATTTTGACGAAATTTTCGGGTTAACATTCTTCACACGTACCTCCAACATCTTGTAGTGCATCTCGGTTTGCTGCGCGACCTGCAAAGCTTCTTGAAGCTGCGACGTTTTCATGTGACTAATCCGCTCCAGCTGGCTCTTGTACTGCTGCTCTTGCTGCTGCGCAGCTTCGAGCGTCTGTCGAAGCTGATTTATCTTCTCCAAGTTGTGTTGACGTTCGGCTTGAAGCTGGTTCTCGATGGGGGCGCCCCTTTGCGGCGGAACGCCCATCATACCTAAGACGTTTCGTTAAGGGGTTACATACAGTTAGAATTTTCAAAAAATCGATTTTTTCTTTTTTCTTAATGTACATATATTTAAGAATACACACAGAAAATTTCACATCGTTCTGGTGAATATTTTCAAAGTTACACGCAAATTTGAAAAGGCGTTTCAGAGTGCTTGGAAGTACAAGGCCGGAGCGGCAGTGACTATAGCAGGGCCCCCACGGTTAAATTACAAATTTTATTTAGGAATTTAGGAGGTTTTTTGGAGAATTTTAGGAGAAAAAAGTATGCAAATGAATTTATTTTATTAAGTAAAAACAACTACATAAAAAATAAGTAATTCTTTTTAACAAAAATATAAATAATTATTTATTATTTATTATTTAAATATCACTTCTTTTGTACAAATAGGTTATATTGACTAGATTTTTAGCCAAATCTCTCGACGAGTTTTTTTTTAATAAAATGAAAAATAAGGTAAAATTACTACTTTTGTATACTATATACAAAAGGTATATAAACAAGTAGAAATTTCACCACACTTTTAATTTTATTAAAAAAAAGCGTCAATAGATATGACTAAAAAAGTAAGCCAAAGTTTAATGATGTTATATTTATATTTAAAAAAAAAAAATTAACAGTTTAGTTAATAACTAACAATAATTGTAATGTTATTCTTCCTAAAAAATCTCATAATAGAAAAAATATAAAGTGCATGATACAGCAAAACATTCTTTAGATTGTTTACTATTTTAGCTATTATTTTAAAGAAAATTAAAAATCCTTTTGTTTGATATAACACGGTATATTTTTGTTGAAAATTAACGAAATATGGCTAAAAATGACAATTTTGTAAAAGTCTAGAAGCTACTACATGGATTTTGTTTTATGGTATATTTTGTTGTTTTTTAAGAAAAATGTAGGTTGTGATACCTATATCATTTTAAAAAGAATTTAATAAACTAGAACCCAAAAATATATATTTTTTAAATTACTTTTTAAAAAAGAAATTGTTTAGCAAAACTACCTTAATTAAACGCAGTCAAGTTGGCCTACTTATATTTAATTTTTAGGTTTTAGGAGATTGATGGCAATTTTAGGAGAGTTTTTAAGATTTAAGCCAAATTTTAGGAATTTTATGAATTTTAGGAGGTGTGGGAGCCCTGCTATAGTATACCCTTTTATGCACCTGCCTAAATGCTCCCTTCTAATGTATTTAGATGTGTAAATCAACAGTGTGAACAGGGTGTATTATATGGGCCTGGAAGAGACGACTCCATGTAAGTTAAAAAAAAAATTTATACCATGTAAACTGCATTCCAAACTTTAAACGCTTTTTCTCAGAATGGTGTTTTCAAAGTCGGTGACCAACATTACTCGAAAACGGCTAAACCGATTAGTCTCAAATTTTAACACAAGCTTCTTAAATATATTTTTTTGTAATTAATCAAAGATTTTTTCTCTCCGATAAATATTTTTGTTTTTATAAACAATTTAAGGCCGAAATTTCGGTGAAAAATCGATTTTTTTTTTTGAGAAACCGCCATTTTGTCAAAAAATTTTATTTTGCTTATTCCTTCGATTAATTACTAGATTTAACATTACTTTAACGAAATCTGTTTGGTTTTTTAAATTCAGATGATCCAGTTCAGAGATATAGTGGTCACCGCAAAAGATCAGCTGTAGCTCTTTTCCAAATAAATATTTTTACTAGTACTAAGTCTTAAAATATAGTTAAAAGGTACCATAATATGTGTATGAATTTTTGGATCAATAAATTTAAACGTTTTCTCAGAAAAACTTCTGGAAAATTCACTTTTTTTCGGCCTTCTAACTGTATATAACCCCTTAAAAACAGCGTAAAACTAATTTATGGAATTAAACATAATCTTATTTGTGGTAATATTAACCTAGTCAGGAATTGTGATAGGTATTCATAAATATAATACAAGAAAAAAACAGCTGTACTACCTTACTGCTTGTACCACAAATGTTACTCAAAAAAGAATAACATATAAAGCACTACAATGGTTTAATGAAATACCTGGTGAAATTAAGGAACTGACCAACTTAGATAATTTTACAAAGGCTGTGAAGCAATATTATATAGACTCTAACAGAGCTGCAAGCTCTATGGAACGCCGTTTTGCTATTTAATGACATGCAATTGTGCTATATGGAAAAAAGTAAAGCTTGTATAGAGAAAAGTTAAATATTATACATAGTTTTGGCAATTATCATATATTGCAAAAACTCTAAGAGTTTTGACAATTATCGTATATTGTAAAAAGTCTAAGAGTTGTATGTAGTTATTCACATTAAAAGGTGTCACTAATACTTTTGTAGACTTGCAGGTTATTGTATAAATAGTTATTGCAACACTCGTGTGTTGAAAAACCTTATTAATTAAAAGAATATAAAAGTTAAAATACTTTTTGCAATTGTCATAGATTGCAAAAACTCACTTTGTAATTGTTAATGTTTATGCGATTGTGCTTTATGGGAAAAAGTAAAGCTTTTATGGAGAAAAGTTAAATATTATACAAAGTTTTGGCAATTATCATATATTGCAAAAACTCAAACAGTTTTGGCAATTATCGTATGTTGCAGAAACCCAAAGAGTTGTATTTACATTAAAAGACGTCACTAATAGTTTTGGAGACTTGCAGATATTGTATAAATACTTATTGCAACATTTGAATGTTGAAAAAACTTAAACTTTACAAGTATTGCATTCGACTTTTGACAATATACGAATGTGGTAAAAAGTATGGCAGACCTGTCTAGGGGAAACAAAAAACACTAGATTTAAGGATTTTAAGGTGTTGTCTCTGGTAAGACGGTGCAGTGCGCGGCAGGTTAGCCAACCGTTGGCGGGAATATGTGTTGGTTCCTAATCTATAATACCTAAGTGCTCATTCATAATGGATGTAACCATAAGATGCCCGTAAAACGTAAACATAATATCACCATAATTTGTACGTAACGATGAGTTGTGTTTATAATGAACGTATGCCTTATGTATGTATTAATAAAAGGGCGAATTTCGTCGAATAATACTCGAACTAAAACTTTAGGATAAGGAATGGTTCTTTAGATTGTTTGTTCTGTGGATACACCAGAATACACTTAAAAAAGATCTGTCATCTGTTTGCATGGCTACTACCCTGATTGCTACCAACAATGTTCTAGTGAAATCATGAAAGTTACTAAAATTCACACATAAGAAACCCGTAAAGTTGAGATGATTTCAACTTTACGTATTTTTTACGGTCACCCATAAGATCTTATGTTCGAACGTAAAACGTAAAAGTTACGGCTTCATTATAAACAGGCACACTGGTTTTGTTAATATTCAACTTTACGTTTTACGTATTTCTTACGGGCATCTTATGGTTACGTCCATTATGAATGAGCACTTAGGTATTCAAGTGTACAAAAGTATTAGTGACACCTTTTAATGTGAATAGCTACATACAACTCTTGATTTTTTACAATATACGATAATTGCCAAAACTCTTTGAGTTTTTGCAATAAACGATATTTGCCAAAACTATGTATAATATATAACGTTTCTCTATAAAAGCTTTACTTTTTTCCATACAGCACAATTGCAAGTTATTTAAATAGTAAAACGTTTGATAACTATTAAAGATAAAATAAATATCAAATTGGCGCGCGCTGTTTTACTATTTAACATAACAATTTGCGCTATGTTATTAAATAGTAAAACGGCGTTCCATAAAGCTCTCAGAAAACTTAAATCGTTTTTTTTGATTTAAATCGTTTTAATGACTTTTGGTAATAAGTAATTTCTCTAAAACTGACTTAAGACTTAAAATTTAAGTAATTTTCAAAATGATTTGGGACTTAAATATTTTTTTTTAAATAGAAAAAACTTAAGTCTTTTAAGGCTTAAATCAGTACATACGATTTAAGTCATATAGAAACGATTTAAGTCAAAAAAAGATTTAAGTCTTTATAAAAGTCGGTAAATTATTTAAGTAATTTAAAAAGATTTAAGTCTTTTTAGAAAATATTTAAGTCAGATCTTTCATATATTTTTTTATAAATTTTTAACAGCGGCATTTTCTTTTGAACTGCGGCAGTAGATCTCCTTTAATTTCCTACCTACAATTGCTACCGCTAGTGAATAAAAAAACCGCCGCGGTAAAGTTAGCTTTTCGGAACCGTTTGACGGCTACATTAAAAAATGTCCTGTCTAAAATAAATGGAAAAAAATGCGGATTTATAGTTTTGTTATTTTGTTTGCCAACATTCGTCGTGTTATGCGTGCGTTAGATCTAATTTGTAACTTTTATCTATTTTAACAGAGTTTGAATCTATTACCGTTTAGAAGTTAACCATTTATGTATATAAAAAAGTAGCCTCCCTGTGTTCTGAAAATAAATCGTTTTAAATTCTTAACATAGTGGTTTATTATCATCTGTATCTACAATAGATTAATAATATTAGTATCATTAATACCAAAAAATTATTATTAACATTTAAAAAATCGTTCTATTGACTTAAGGGTAATTATTTTGATTTAAATCACAATTTTTGATTCTTGAAAGATCACGATTTAAATAAAAAATATAGACTTAAGTGATAAAAACGACTTACTAAAGGAATTAAGTCATAAGATGACTTAAATCACTTTATATTGATTTAAGAATTTGCGAAAATAACTTGACTTGAAAGAAAATGATTTAATTCAAAGACTTAATACTTAAATCATTTGAACTTTATCTTAGAATTGACGAAGATTTAAATCATTTTGATTTTAGAATTGACTTAAGACTTAAGATTTAAGTCTTTTTAAAACTGACTTGTTGCAGCTCTGGACTCTAAAATGTGATATTTAAATGTGATATAGATTAAATTATATCTACCATATTTATCCACTTTATATTTATATGTTATAGTTAATCTTGTATTTATGTTTATATGTATAGTTATTTGTAATATCTGCTTATGTAATGTATTCCTGTGATGGATTTGTGTAATCTTTTTGGGAAATAAATAAATTAAAAAAAAACAGAAAGCAAGATTTTTTGTTCTTTCATACCATCGAATTCCCCTTGCTGCATGTTCTGCTGGTTGCCTTGCTGCTGTATTCCCGCCATGCGTATGTTGGGGCGCATTCCCGCCCCAGGGACGGACTGACCCATTATACCCATGCCGGGATTCTGCTGTCCCGATGACGTCACTACGTTTTGCGTTATCTGCCCGCCCCCCATTGATAACGTGTTGGTTTGCGATATCATCATGCCTTGCTGTGGGCTCTGCGACGTTGCCGGATTAGGCATTTGCGGGGAAGTACCCGCCATAGGCATAGGGCCCCCCGGCGTTTGAGGGTTGATATTTGGACCTACGCCGCCCTATAAAAAAGTGATAACTTTTTGTTTGACGTGCGATTTTATTTTTGTAAAAAGATTTGGAATTTTTACAAAATACTGCTTGCATTCACCCCTATAATTATTATTTTTTCGCAAGTATTAGTCTAAAATTGAGGTTCCTAAAAGTCTGATGGCCCATTACTACTTTCCTTGTACTGGGCCTTTAAAGGAATGTTTTAAAAAAATATTAATTTTAATAAAAGGCTGTCGTAATAAGGTCTTGCTTACCATAAAAGATCCATATATGGCATTTTTCAGTATTAAATTAATGGGACCAGAGCTGGGAAAGTTACTTCTGAAAAGTATCTAGTTACTTTTCTAAGATAAGATAAACAAAATAACTTAGTTACCTCAGATAACTAGATACTTTGAGTTAAAAGTATCTTTAGTTACAAGATACTTTAAAAAGTATCTAAGATACTATCCGAAATTTTTATGAGGCGCCGTTTGTCCGTAAATTATTTTTGCTATATATAAGAATATTTTTTATATATAAACTTTAAATTTCCTATATATATATATAAACTCCTGGACAAAATTAACGCAACATCAAAAAATTTGCCACATTTTTTATGCTATTTTTTTGTTGAATTTATGATCCGATTTGAATGATTTTTTTTTTGGATTGTAGGTTGGTTCCTTGACAATGTCATAATTTTCGCTGTTTATGATAAAAAGTTCATTTTCGATTTATACCGGGTGTAATAAAAATATAATGTTTTTTTCCGAAAATTCGTATCACCCTGTGGAGTATACTAGCAACTGAAACATATAGCAGTTGACATTAGACGGTAGGTTCATCTTTCGCCAACATTTTCTTTTTTGGTTTACTTCATTATCTCTGTTATTAAAGGAGATACGCCGTTTTATACCGTAACATGTTTTTATAGACTTTATTATTCAAAACAATCATTGTTAAATATTTTCAAGTAGGCTATGGACGTTTTCTGACATTTCAAGAGATGTTTAGATTATTTGTTATCTGTATAATTGTATAATTTCTGCTCGCTTTGATAAATGCATAATCCTGCATAAATAAACTATTCGGTCCCAAAAAAGGAACAAATGGCATTACATGTTCAATTACAATGTTTTCTAGATAATAATCGGCGTTCATTGATCTTACACGTATAGGGACTGCGTCCGTTGAAGCATATTCCTCCCCAAAACATTACAGAGCTTTCACCAAACGGGATTTTAGGAGAAATATTGCCACTTGCAAATCTCTCTCCTGACCTTCGCCAAACACGTTCACACCATCAGGAGAATTAAGACTAACTCTCGTTTCATCAGAAAATAAAACCTTCTTCCAATCATTAACAGTCCAATGTTGATAATTTCTGGCAAAACGCAATCTTGAAACTTTGTGCTCTCTAGTAAGTAATTGTTTCTTTGCAGGTCTTCTCTTGCTTAAATGCCTCATTTAAACGTCTCCTGCAGGATCACAATCATGATTGTTCAAAACGATATTGTATTATGGCGAGCAGTTCTAAGCTCATAATTGTTCGAGACGATATTGTATTACGGCGAGCAGTTCTAAGCTCACTTTTTAGCCTAGTACTAGTAATCTTCCTGTTTCTAGAGCAGTTTGCCTAATAAAACGCTCATCCCTTGGATCGGTACATCGTTTTCGCCCTTGTACTGACCTTAAAGAGTAAGATCCTGTCTCGTTAAATCGTTTAACCATACGACTTATAGTCGAACGATGTCTTCCTATCACATAAGCAACATTACATCGAATAGCCCTTATCCACCAAAGTTAAGTCTCTTACTGCTTCTTCTGTCGAAAAATTTTTTAGACGATTAATTTTTCAAGATTAAAATACGAAACGAACATTTAATAAGCAGTTTTCGAACAGTTGTTATAAGTATGGCGAATTTTCCATAGCCTACTTGAAAACATTTAACAATTAATGTTTTGAATAATAAAGTCTATAAAAACATGTTATGCTATAAAACAGCGTATCTCCTTTAATAACAGAGATAATGAAGTAAACCAAAAAAGAAAATGTTGGCGAAAGATGAACCTACCGTCTAATATCAACTGCTATATGTTTCAGTTGCTAGTATACTCCACAGGGTGATACGAATTTTCGGAAAAAAACATTACATTTTTGTTACACCCGGTATAAATCGAAAATGAACTTTTTATCATAAACAGCGAAAATTATGACATTGTCAAGGAACCAACCTACAATGCAAAAAAAAATCATTCAAATAGGATCATAAATTCAACAAAAAATAGCATAAAAAATTTGGCAAATTTTTTGATGTTGCGTTAATTTTGTCCAGGAGTTTATATATAGAAACTTTTTAGTTCAGATAATGCCGCTTGAGAATGAGGGCGCTTTGTGGTATTCAACTAAAAAGCACTGTGCCAATGCAAAGTTTTGGTCAGTGTTTCCAACATAACGGATCTTCGGCCAGATCTAGTAGAACAAAAAGTATAGGATTTTAGTTTTTTTAAATACTTATAGATAATATATTGGTCGGTTGGTCTATTTTTATTGAAGAAAACATTTCTCTTCTTTGGCCGTCTCTATTTCTCTAAATAAACACGGCTTCGTTTTTACTAATAGGTATTTAAAAAAACTAAAATTTCTTACGTTTTGCTTCTCTTGTCAATTTATAAAAAAACAAAGAATTTTTTTTTAAACTTGGACTCTTGCAAATTAAATTATATACAAATCTTATGACAAATACCATTCGATATTATGTTCAAGTTTCCGTTAAAAAATCCTTTCCCTCGACCTTTATTAAAATCTGCAAGATCTGGCGAAACGTTATGTTAAAAACACTGACCAAAACTTTGCATTGGCACACTCTGGCAACAGTGCTTTTTAGTTGATTACCACAAAGCGCCCTCATTCTCAAGCGGCATTATCTGAACTAAAAAGTTTCTATATATATAGGAAATTTAAAGTTATAAAAAATATTCTTATATATAGCAAAAATATTTTACGGACAAACGGCGCCTCCTAAAAATACCGCCAAAGAATTTAGTAGAAAGGTTAAATTGGGGCAATTGCAAATAAAAAAAATTAATAATGGCAAGGAAAACCTGGTTTTCTTTGTTATAGAGAACAATCTACCAAAAAAATCAAGTGAACTTATTTGTAAATATATATTTTAATTTTAATTATTTTCTATTTGGTTTAAGGATTTTTTTATGTATTTAAATATTATAGATTCCATTTACTATCTAATAAACAGTTTTTAAAATAAAATGTTTATGTTTTACTTATACAGGTCTTGATTACAACACATTGCTCTGTTTTTTTTCCTGTAAATTTATGAATGTTTTAGTATAACATTTCACGATAACATATTAATTAATGTAATGGATAAGTAAAGTATTTATTATGATGGAATAAATGTGGTTTTGTTAATATTTATTGAGTTGGATATTTCAATAATAATCGAAAATTTTTATCCCGACCGTCAGAAATTGTATTGTGACGGTATGTCTGATTACTTATATAATATATTTATAATATATAATATTATTAAAAATTATTAAAATAACCACTATAGAATCTTTAACACCAAATTTTAGAAGCTTTAGCTGGCCACATTTGTACCTTTAATCTGCCATATCAGAACACCATATCAAAAAAATGGAATGGTTCTTGTAAGTGCCTTTATTGACTGTTGTTAAATGCCCCTTAAAGGTGAACGCGACATAATATGTACAGTTCCATTAAAGTTAGCCTTTAGTTCATTAAAGTTTATAAATGACCATTATAGAACCTTTACGGTTGTGTTTGCTGGGTCTTTTTAGTGATAACTTTTTTGTTTAAATTTTAATTATATTTCTGAAAGAAGACCGTTATAAACCGCATAAATTGATACCAATATGTTGTTAAAAACCTTTCAATTTAATATGTAAATCAAGATTTAAAAAATGTTGTTTTTTTTCACTGTAACATTTTTGTTTGACATTGAAATGTTTATCTGTTTAAATTTTCTTAATCCCCTGGAAATTCCACACGATTTCGACCCCAACATCGCTCATCTAGCTCAAAAACTAGCCGAGCTCAAAAACCGATATACCGGGCGTTTCATTAAAAGACTCACCTGATTTTGGCGCATTTGTTGCGTGGACTTTTGCTGCTGTATCACCTTCCTTAAACGGTCGACAAAGGCGACTTGATCGTTGGGTATGAAGCCCAAATAAGCCCTCTTTTCGGCCGTGTAAAGCAAAATCAGTACTTTGATGTCGCAAGATGGAGTGTTGGGCATGCTAGTGAAATGCACGCAACCGGCCTGTAAAAATGTCGTTTAGTGTTTGTTGTTTTAATGTTTTTTTTTCTTACAAATCCCGATGACATTACTCTGGTTAGAGACTCCAAAGCTTCGCAGTTTGACGGGTGAAACAATACGGATTTTGAGTTTTTGAGATAAGCGCCCCCTATGTTGCCTATAAGTTGTTTCGGCATTAACTGCATTATCAGTTTTTGCGGCCAACCTTCCGCTTTTCTACGGTAATAAAACAAACTTTATATACCTACATTTAAATAACATTATTAACTTACAATTCAGGTTCACCCTCCTTAGTATTTGCAGACACCTGACAGGGCACATGTTTCGTAATTTTTTGCTGATCCGAGCCGTTTTTGGGCTTCTCTATCCACTCCAACAAACCTTGCCAAATGGTGTGTCTCTCCCTGGTTTGACTTAGAGCCTGGTTAGGCTGAGAAGGGCTCTACATTAACAAAATTAGCCACAAGCTACTGCAAGTGTTAAAAGTAATACTTACAGTAGCTTGTGGCGCCACCGCTTGGTTGGCCTGCGAAGTTTGTATTCCAGGCATAGCACTCTGGATTCCGGGTTGATTTTGAGGCATCGAGGCGGGAATATTTTGAGGTTGGTTTATGTTTAACATCTTGGGAGACGCTGCGTTTACTAAAAAAAATGTTTTAAGGTGTGTCTTGACATCTTTAAGTATGGTTTTAACCATTTACCAAGAAGACTAAATAAAGGAGGAGTAACTCTCAACCACAAGGCATAATGTTACGCCAAACTATTTTTATAGCAACTGAACCTCAATTAAAGTTAAGTATGGTTATAACCTTTTTCCATTCTGCATTCTTAAGTATTTCTTAACATGTGTGTTTTTGACATTCTTAAGTGAGTTTTGAAAATTCGTAAGTATGTTTTAAATTTTTACATTTTAAAATAGTCTGTTTTGATATTTTTAAACATGTTTGCATTCTTAAGATTATCTTAACTTTATTAAGTGTGATCTTGACACTCTAAAGTATGGTTTTAATTTTTTATAAATTTTAAAATAATCTTTTTTGATTTTTTAAACATGTTTGGTTTTTTTAAGAATGTCTTAACTTTATTAAGTGTGATCTTGACACTCTAAAGTATGGTTTTAATTTTTTATACATTTTAAAATAATCTGTTTTGATATTTTTAAATATGTTACGTATTTTTAAGAATTTCTTAACTTTATTAAGTGTGATTTTGACTCTCTTAATTATGGTTTTAATTTGTTATACATTTTAAAATTTTTAAACATGTTTGGTATTTTAAAGAATGTCTTAACTTTATTAAGTGTGATCTGACATTATTAAATATGGTTTTAATTTTTTATACATTTTAAAATAATCTATTTTGATATTTAAACATGTTTGGTATTTTTAAGAATGTCTTAACTTTTTAAGTAATATCTTGGCAATCTTGAGTATGGTTTTAATTTATTATACATTTTAAAACTGTTTTAATATTTTTAAACATGTTTGGTATTTTTAAGAATGTCTTAACTTTATTAAGTGTGATTTTGACACTCTTAAGTATGGTTTTAATTTTTTATACATTTTAAAATAATCTGTTTTGATATTTTTAAACATGTTTGGTATTTTTAAGAATGTCTTAACTTTATTAAGTGTGATTTTGACACTATTAAATATGGTTTTAATTTTTTATACATTTTAAAATAATCTATTTTGATATTTTTAAACATGTTTGGTATTTTTAAGAATGTCTTAACTTTATTAACTGTGATCTTGACACTCTTAAGTATGGTTTTAATTTTGTATACATTTTAAAATAATCTGTTTTGATATTTTTAAACATGTTTGGTATTTTTAAGAATGTCTTAACTTTTTTAACTGTGATCTTGACACTCTTAAATATGGTTTTAATTTTTTATACATTTTAAAATAATCTATTTTGATATTTTTAAACATGTTTGGTATTTAAAGAATGTCTTAACTTTATTATGTGTGATTTTGACACTTTTAGTATGGTTTTAATTTTTTTGACATTTTAAATTAGGTGGTTTGGATATTTTTAAACATGTTTGAGATTCTTGGGAATGGCTTAACTTTATAAAGTGTTTTTGCCATTCTTAAGTATAAATTTATTTTTTTTTACATTTTAAAATAGTCTGTTTTGACATTTTAAAACATATTTGTCATTTTTAAGTATGTCTTATTATTCTTAAGTAAGTTTGACACAAAAATATTACTTTTTCTATTAAACTAACAAAAAGATAAACTTTAAAGGGCTTTAGCTTAATTGGAAAACCTTTTTCTGAATGTTATTGATAACTTACTTTGTCCAAATTGGTTGACCCCAGCTCCAGGCATAGAAGAAGGGGGCTGAGTTAGCTGGGCTATAAGAGCACTACCCCCTTGCGCGGCATTACCAGGGGGGTTATTTGGGAGATAGGGTCTTTGTTGCACCGGAGGGGGCATAGGCCAGTGTGGGGACCTATTGACGTGGCCTAGACAAAAAAAATCACAAAAAGGTTTTTATGAATTTTTGATGTAAAATACCTGCGTATTGCGGCGGATTTATTTGTTGAATGGGCATTTGGGGCTGACCAATCATCCTACCCCCAACACCTACCCCCACCCCTTTCTGAGCCTGCACCATGCCTTGGTTGTGCTGTTGCATATTGTTCAAGCCCAAAAATTCTAAAAAAATATTTTGTCATTGCAATAACAAAAAATACCAATAATGACAAATGTAATATACAAAGCACAAAACAAACAAACATCAAGGTACAAAGCACAAAAGGTCTTCTCAAAAACTTACCTTGGTTATTTTGGGGCCTGTATACAGGGCTTTGTCCCGCGTTCACCCCCACCACATTGTTTGCGTTTCCTTGCATTATATTAGCGCTATTGGGGTTAGCACCGGCTATAGGGCTTTCTCCCCCAGGCCCTGGAGAAGGTAGGGAGGTTATGGGAACTGCAGGGTTCTGAATTTGGGGTTGCGCTGACGTCACTATGTTTGCTGGTGGGGGGCTTATGGGCCTCTCTTTGAGGCTAAAATATTTTTTTTTGTTACATAAAGTAACCTAAGAAATCATTATTGTTACCTAAATCCCTTTAGTAGCACCAAATGTCTTGGATCTTTAGCATAGTTTTTGGTCTGCGATGCACTTAAATCACCGCCCGCTTTTTCAAAAAGTTTGTATAAAGTTGGTATTTTTCTTGGCGAAATGACAGTTAAATTAATGTTTTTCTAGAAATTAATAATCGTTAAACCACGAAATGTTAAGTTCATTTCTTTTATCTGGACTGCGGCAACGTTGCAAATTTAGGGGTTTGGTTGGTAAATAAGAAACCAAAATTGGTTGCATTGATTAAAACAAACTAAACAAGTTATAAATGTAATTGTGGTTATGTTTAAATTATTGTAGGTTACATTGATCGGTTGTCCAGTTGAGTTGTCAAAATTCGTAGTTAAAAATGCAATTAATTTTGCTTTGGTGGTGCGCAGATGAGTAAAATCACATGAAAAAGTAGTTAAATATAGGTGACTACGGCACAGGAGAGCCATTCCTTGCGAAAAATAAATCTTCGCTTTGAAGAATTTATATAAAAGAAATTAAAATTTTATGTGAATGGGTATTTTTTTAAAGCCACTGGACGTTAATACTTGTAGTGGCTTAATACCTAATAATTATTTTCAAAGACAGGAAAATTAACTACTAGATTTTTTACAAAAAGGTTGAACCTAACAGCAATAGTATATTACACTACAAGGGCAGAAAGTGTGAGATTCCTGCACTGCGCGCCATGATGCCCGAGGCGAAGCCGAGGGCATCATGGCGCGCAGTTCAGGGCTCTTACACTTTCTGCCCGTGTAGTGTATACTATTTTTCTTGCTACCCGGCAGAAAATACGGGAAAAAATTAAATGTATATAAAAAAACTTGTGTCAAAATTAAAATCTGACGTTTAATTTAATTCTGACGTTTACATTCAAAATCAATCAAACTGTAGCGTTGTCATGGTAATTCAGCGGTGCCAATACAGTAAAAATAAAAGGTTGTATTTTAATTAACAAATTACTACTTTATAACAAATAAAAGTACCATTAAACACTTAAAACAACATAAAAAGTAAAAAAGTAAAAACATAAATTGTTTATTTGTTGTTATAATTGCAAAATTATGGTTTAAAACTGTCATATTTTTGTGTTTCTTATGTTGGCAGTACGAAATTTGAATGTTAAGCACACGACTAAAAAATTTTTACTCCCGCTATTAGAGTGTGCGCGTATAGCTTGACCAATGCAAGAAACGTAAACTTTCTGCCGTGGAATCGGGGACGAAACAACGTATTTTGAGTCGAGGTAGTAAGAAAATAATTTTTATTTTTTCCCCTTTATTTTTTTAAATTTCAAAAATTTTTGATCTGCTTAGCTGAAAATAATGTGTGATTTAATATTTGTAAAACCCAAAATTTTACTTTTTTACTCCAAAAATGTACATAAGGTGATGTACTTTTTCTGTCATTGAGGCATTTGGCATAACCCTAGACCACACTAGGGGCATAACTTCATCAAAATAAAGTTTTGCCCTTAAAAGTTCTTTTACTTTAGAATCTAATATTATTTTTGGCATAGTTATCTTTTTATATTAATATTATATTATATATATAACAAGTAAATTATCAATAATAAAAAAACAGTCCAAATAAATAAAAATATTTTGCAATTTAAAATATTTCTGTGGAATGAGAATTTTTATCATTTTTCAGAAAATAATCATGTGACATTACAAGTACGCGTTATTACACAGGGTGTCCCAAAAATGACCTATATGCATTAAAACTTAGATAAATTTTTTCTTAATATTTTTGTAAATGTAATAAAAATCTGATTCTACAGAAATGTTTTACAAGACAAATACCTCTTGTAAAATAGTTGCAAGCTGTTCATAGTTCTTTCCTGAATATAAATGTGATTCAAGTACTGGCATTGAGTAGGGGGGAGAGTTACAAATTAAAATGCAATGCTTTTGCGAGTTGCTGTCTTTTTTCCCTTGCAGCTCCTCAAAACATTGTAAAGCAGTTGCCAAACCTTCTGCAATGTTGGCATGGGATTCCCCTTTACCTCCTACCAATCTAACAAAAAAAACACCAAATTTACAATGTTTTCTATTTATTGAACATGAAAAAATGATAAAAATATTCATTAAGTACTTACTCCAGCTTTTCTATGGCGGAATATAACTTTGCAGCGCTACTGAAAGGCCCAAAAGTATCCGTACTTGGATGTGGTAGACAATCAGCAGCTTGATACACAACGATACCATATACAGAGTTTGAACTTTCAGATAAATGATTGGATTCCTCCATGTTACCCTGGCTGAAGTATCTGTAACAAAAAAACATTAATAAAACAGTTTTAAACCAAAAAAACAATTTTTATGGTATTTATAAATCAGATGTGAATTTTGTATCATTTACAGCAAGGTTACACCAACTTTCACTGGTACCTCAAACCATAATCAATTATCCGTTCTAAATTCATCATAAAAACCACAAAAACCGCTAAAATTCCACAAAAACCCAAACACTCACTCCAAAGAGGGCAAAATATAATTCGTTTTAATATCATTGATGTAAGCCCCATTTACAGCCGTTCCTTCAATAACAAACACCACCTCCGCCTGCAAATTATGATCGCTCGGCCCGCAAACCATTTTTAACGCTTTTAAGTTACTTTTTCAACATTTAAAACCTTTACAAAAAAAAAACACCAAACACCAACGACAAACAACTGTTATAAAAGCTAGGTTAGGTGAGAAGAAGAAGAAGAATGACAGTGAGTGAGGTTATAATTTTGACGTTTGTTATCAGCTGATCAAAATATTTTGCTTAGTCGTTATTTATGAAGTGTTTATGAACGTTTTGTTGAATTTGAATAAAGCCATGGCGTCTGCTTTGTCGGAAAAAGTCAAGGAGAAGCGAAATAGAGTGAGTCTCACGCCTTTATGATACTTGAGAGGTTTTAACAATATTGCGTTTTTATAGGTTCTCTTGGGTACTTTACCGCACGATTTTTTGCGTATTAACGTGTCGGCTCAGCAGCAGCAAGAGGCTGCTGATAGACAGGCGGCAATCGCATTGCATCAGCATTATTTAGGGGCTCAACCCTATGTCCCTAATGCCGTAGGAAGGTTAAGTATTACAGTTGTACAAGCTAAATTGGCAAAGAATTATGGAATGACCCGTATGGATCCTTATGCGCGAATCAGGGTTGGGCATTACATAAGCGAGACACCAACAGATTCAAACGGAGGAAAGAATCCTAGATGGAATAAAGTCATTCACAGGTATTTTGCTTTTTTTTCTTACTGTATTCTTAACAAAACATTATTTTAGCTTACTTCCACATGGTATAAACACCATGGCACTGGAAATATATGATGAAAGATCCTTTACTGTCGATGAATTAATCGCCTGGACTCAAATAACAATTCCACAGCAAGTTTTAGCCGGTGATGCCCATGAAGATTGGTACCCTTTGACAGGAAAACAAGGTGAAGGAGTTGAGGGCATGATAAATCTGGTTATAAGCTATTCAGTGAGTAAATTTAGTTACTACAACTTTGTAGAGGTTGTCTTATAATGTATTTTTTGTTTTTTTAGCCTGCTGCACCATATATGCCCCCCCAGCCTGTGATGATAGTGCCTAGGGTGGATGGGGGGCACCCAAAACCATTAAAGGTGTTTACTGGGCCCCCAGCAAATCAACCAACCATTCCTGTATTGAGTGAATCCGAGTTAAAACAGGTATTTTTCTCTTCAAAAAAATGCATAAAAAATATATAAAATGTTTTTTTAGATTGAAGAAATGTTCCCAAACATTGACAAGGAAGTCATAAAAACAGTTTTTGAAGCAAATCGCGGTAATAAAGACGGTACAATCAATTCTTTACTGCAAATGGCGGAGTAATTTAAAAAAAACAATCTCAAATATTAATAGTCATTAATTTTAAGGTACTATGCTCCACACTTGACATTTGATTACAAATTGAGGTTTTTAACGCCAATTTCGTCTTTTTTCTGTAAAATACAATACATGTTTATTTTGTTTCTAAATTAATACCTTTATACACAAAAAATACATCTATTGTATTATTTTCAGAAAATAAGAAAAAATTTGCGTTAAAACTGACAGATAGATAACCTCAATTATTTTTATTCAAATGTCGAGGTGGGACTTTTGGGTATGGAGCATACTTCATATATGTATAATGCACTACATAATATGCCATAATAATATTATTAAACACGCTTTTTTGTTTTTAATTTTTCTAAAAATGTTTTTTAAAAAGCTCATCTCAAAATATCTCAAATTTCTGTAAAAATCTACTTTTCCGTAAAAGTGCCAAAATTTCTTTTTTGTTGATTAATTTTATATTTTTGTTAATAAAATTTATTTACATTTATGTTTAGAATATACCTACCTATAACTATAATAAATATTGTTTTATTAAAATAAACACCCTTAAAATTAAAGGCCAAGTCTAGTATAAAAAATATGGCCCTGTGAATCAACTAGTTCCATCATGATAGACATATGTCTATGATTCAAATGTCCTAACCTATAAAACCATAGAAATAATAATATTTCTATGTATAAAACCATGGAGCTCCATGTATAAAACTATCAATTTTCAAAGTTGTTTAGTGTTCTTGGTTTTTAGCAGGATACGAATATCGGATGTAGGTAGGCAACCAGAATACATTTTTTATTGATTCATATCAAAAACCTCCAAGCATTTTTTATGCACTTCTCAGACCTTTTTTATCTCTGTCTCAGACGCATGGTGCGCGTGACGGTTTGGGTTTTGAACACAAGTTTTATAAAATTTGGAGCATTACCCATACCCACAAAACTAGAAGGTGCCCATACCTAATTTTAACTGCAGGTTAATTTTTAGAAAATTTAATAAATAGGTACACTTGTATCATTCAACAAAATAAAACAGTAATAAAAATAATGAATATTTATTATAAATTTAAATCTGTACACATTTAAATGCTGTTCATTAAAATTTTTAGCTTAAAATTAGGTATATATAACAAATAAATGCAATATTTACAAAAACTCTTCACACCAATCATTTAAACATGTCCAGCAGTCTGAGGATTGTTTGGAATTTGCTGAGCATGTGTCTTTCATCCAGTCTTTGAAAAGTTCTTGGTTTTTCTTTAAGACCAGAAACTGACCCAGCACAACGTAAGCCTAAAACGTAAAATAATGTAAAATTAAGCGGCAAATATGCAAATTTGTATTCTAACCTTGTCAAAACCAGCAGACACCAATCTATCTCCTAAAACGCCACCCACGCCTGCTAAATCAGTAACTGGTTTCTCTCCCATAGGTTCAGCAACGAAATTACGATGTTTTTGAGATGTACTCGACATTTTAAATGCTTATTAATAACTGTTTAAACACAATACAAACACAAACAACCTTAAATTTGCAGAATCTTTCAATCCATATCCGATATGGCATATCGCTTGGATAAAATAAAGCTACCAACTCATTCAGTTCGTCAAACTGACAAACTTACAACAAAAAAGTCCCTAAATATTCTTTTACATTTATTCAAATTAAAGCATTTTGCTTTATTTAGTTATGCCAAAATACATACAAAAATACCAATGAATAGTATGCGCCATAATAGGAGATTTTAAAGACCTTAAAATCGCAAAAACCATAATTGATGCGTGGCGCAGATGCCTTCTTTATCTCTGGCAGATGCGCGTATGTCTGACGTTTACATAACCTCACATATCTGATATTGGGATTTATTCGGTAATTTTGCATATTTTTACAAAAACTGGTAAATTGTCATTAAATCAATATTTAGTAAATAATATTTGCAATTATCCTACAATACAATAATCGTATTTTAGATCTATGTATATACCTACACAAAAATGACCATTTCAAAAGAGGCTTTTGTGGATTTGGATGAAAAATACACAAAAGTAATGAAACTGATTGAAGAAGACAGTAAATTAGATCCAATAAATGAGCCGTATTTGTCAAAATACGCCGCCAGAGAAATTCTTGTTGGTATGAAAGCAAATATAGAGAATCTGTTGAGAAATTATGGAGCAGGGAGCAATGAACATGTTAAGCTATCAGGTTTAAACAAAATTTATGGGTAAATGTCTTTACTGTGTATTAGTTTTATTTTTTTAAATAGAATAAAATACAATACCTAAAAATCACCCAAGTCTAATGCCTACAAAAATTGGTTAATGTTTTTCTAATGTTACCAAAGGCAAAACTTTAGGGTTTATTTTATATATTAATATGGCTTTTATTGCTATATTCTTTATGCAATTAGAAAAATTAAAGGTAGTTTTCTATTATCCAATTTTGTTCAATTTTGGGCATTTTCCAATAACCCAAAACAATGTGCAGTTTTCAATTGACCACATGACTTACCTGTCTGACTTCAAAAGCGTTTCATACTTTCCGTGAGAAGATCATAGATAATAAATCATAAGAAGATGTTAAGCTGTGACTGTAGCCAAAGTTGACTTTCTTAAGATACATATCTTAAATTAAATTATAGCAGTTATATCCAGTTAAGGAGTAATGTCCAATAATAGTTAATTAATACTATGCTTTTTCCACTCCAATTAAGTAATTTTCATTGATAACAAAATTTATTATAACCTCACTTTTCCCTGATTTTAAAGATCATTATAGTCACCCCTCATATATATAAACAAATCTGACATCTGTTAAGCTTACTTTTCCCAATTTAAAACCCGATTGGTTTAAATAACGGTGATTATTGAAATCAGCCAATCACTGATGCCTAACCTATGTTTGTGTATTCTGGGTTGCAGCTTTACAGGCAAATTGATAAATTTAAATATACCACAACTGAGATTTTTTTCAACATATTCTTATGGTGACTAAACATCGTTCCCTTAAAAGGCAAAGGGACACATTTCGGACATTTACCCTTATAACTTTAAAACGTTGATTTAATATTAATGTTTTTAGCAATGCTTGGGGCCACTTATTTGTACCTGGGCATGATTGCACTGGATACAGATGAGTTATCCGCAGGCGAAAAACACTTGAAAAAGTGCAACACAATCATTGAGAAGTATTATTTAAAACCGGAAGTCGTATTGGTGGCAATTAGCATGTTCAATCAATTCGGAATAATGTGGTCGCTAAGAAAACCAGAAGAGGGAAAAATGTACTTGGAGAAAGGCGAGCAACTGTATTTGGATTACAAAAAAGAGTCCAAGGATCCCGTGGACATATCGGATTTGTTCGCTAGCGACTTGGAGTACAACAGCGAAATGGCGCGCAGAAATATGGAAAAAAGCTACACCCTAACCCTCTACTACTTGGCGCAAATATTCGGGGTTCTAAAGGACGCGCTAAAGAGCTCCGTTTACTGTCACGTAACGTTGCAAAAGCAAATCGACATGGACGATTACGATCCCATCGATTGGGCCTTGAATGCGGCGACTTTGTCGCAGTTTTTCATGGAGAAGAACGGGTTCAAACAAGCCAGGCACCATTTGGCCTGCAGCTCCTACGTTTTGAGTAAGTATGAGGATCAGTTGCGGGCCGTTAACGAGGAAAGCGAGGCGCACGACGCGGCTTTGGAAGTTTTCAAGCATAGAAGCGCCGATGTGGCCAGGTGTTGGGCCAAATACGGCTCTCTCTTGCTGAGCAAATCCAAGGAAAGGCTTTTGAGCCACACGGACGACATCGACGTGAATTGCTCGTTGTCTACGGATTTGTCGAAGTTATCTCTGACTTCCGACTCCACCGTTTCCGTCGAGGATTTGCAGAACTTGGTCTTCACTGGTATTGAGGCTTCCGCGTACGAGCTGCAAGTGACGGATCAGTTTGTTCTGTGTCTGGATGACGCTCGTAGGGTTTTTTATAACATACAAGATTGGCTCGCGAAGGCTGAGGAATATTACAACATCGACACTCTCGCTTCGGACTACATAGAAATAGCTCTGGATCGGTCGCAAATGTATTTGAACCTGCTATTCTTCGACGAAAATCAGGATAACCAGGCAAAGTTGCACAAGAGAAGAATAGACTTGCTGGAGGAAGTGGTGGGGAAAATAAACCCGCAGTATTATCTGCAGTACTGCAGGCAGATCTGGTTCGAGTTGGGGAATACGTACTCGGACGTGCTCGATATTAAATCGGAAAAAATTCGGGACTCCAAGGCGAGACCCAAGCCGCAAGCGCTCACAAAAGCCAACATTCTCGCCGAGAAAAGTATTCAGTGCTACACGACTTTTGTGGATTCTTACAAAGACGCCTCCACAGGCGTTCTCCCCAAAAAATTCCCCGAGGAGGCGGAAAACCCTCTATTACGAGCCTATTTCCATATAGCCGCTCTACACAATCGTTACATTACTTTGGATAAGCAAACGCAGTTGAGTAACGTCGAGAAGAGTTTGGAGTTTTATAAGAAAATTTTTGATTATGTTGAGGAAAACAAGAAAGCTGAAGAGTTGATTAAAGCGGAGTATAGTATTTGTAAGGAAATGGTTACGTTGTTACCAGTGAAAATAATGAAGTTGAAGCGAGAGGTCGGAGTTTAATTTTAGCCTAGTCAGCACTTCTGCATTATTCATATTATCTTATTTATTAAATAAATGTATATTCAATTTATCTTATTTGATTTTGTTACCTACAAAACGCCCAAAAATCGTTTTTGTACAAATGAGTTTTATCGTCCTTAAAAACGTTTGTAGGAGTTATTAAAGTTTTAAAGACGCCAATTAGAGCGCAGTATTTCTGCTCTATCAAACGAGTTCCGTGTTTGTTGGTATGTAGGTAGGCAACTAAAGTTGCAAAGGAAAATTTGTCTTGGTGTTTCAAGAGGAATTGACCCGCCAATCTTGGAACACACTGTATTTTTCTTATTTGTTTAATACAATTTTTTCGAAAAATGCCTTTTGACGGAACTCTGAGAGTTCTAAGAGAATGATTTTTCCCCTTGAACATAGACGTAATTTTTTGATACTATGCTAAAAACAGCTCCAAATTAACATGGATTAATTTTTTTGTAACTCCTCTTGTTTTTGCAAATTCTATAAACACTTTAATTTTATCAAAACTCCATTAAAAAGTCTTTTAATAAAAACTATAAAACTTTATTAAAAACTATAAATTTTTCACTTTTAAAAATTAAAATAAAATCGACCTTTTCAATGAATTTGTTCCATACTTTTGCCTGTCACTGTATACATGTAATAAGGCACTTACCAACCTTTTACAACTTATTTCTGAATATAAAATCTGAAAATAAACGATTTTTGTTAAATAAAACACTTTTTTGGTGAAGAGCCGTCTGTATTTTATAAATAATTTCAAGTTACAAAATTTGACAATTTTAGAGTTTTAGAAACATACAAATTCGTTTTTAGTTTAACAAAATAATAACCTTAGAATATTGCACAATAAGAAAATTAGGCGAGTAAAAGCCCTTCACGCTTTTTTAATTTTTTTTTAACAAAATATAAAATGTTGGCAGTATGTCAAAATGCGTTACCCCAAGTGACTAAAATAAATAGAATCGTAAATGAAAAATGTAATTTTGACATGCCGGCAACACTGTGTGTGTTTGTGGTCATAAATAGCCCCCCCTTTTTCTGTAAAAATGAAAAATAAGTCTTTTTAGATCACGTTGTAAAAACCTGTCTCGACAGATTTCACTCAACGGTAAATGTCAAAAAAAACCGATCGTGTTTTTTGACACCTACTGTATGCTAATGAAATGTAAAACTTTTAAAAACAATGGTTCGTTGATGCGTGGTATTAATTTGGAAAATTTTGAACGTCCCGAAAGTTGCATCAACGCTTTTATATTGTCTAATTACTTATAATGTCGGTAAAAAAATATTCTTTTAGGAAAGCATTGATAAATAATTAGACATTATATGGGTAACCTTTTTGTGTCGCTTTGGAAGCGATTTGTTCCGCTTAACCAGAAAGGTTGGGCCGGTTAAGCGGGCAGAATCTCTTTATTTTAATAAACCAAAATAGCGCTTGTTTATTATTTTTTGAATTTAAAACTTTCTCCTTGTCAGTCACTTGTTCCCATCACTTTTGCGGAGTCCTTTATCTCCTTTGATTGCATCACTTTGAGTTTCAGTTTGAGAGGTCCGTTTTTGTCAAACACCAAATTAAAACAGAGATTCTTGTCGCGGTGTTGCCTGCGGATTTTAATGCGATGTCCGACAAATTTATTATTACGGCGGGATTATCCAGCAACGAGCTGGTTATTGGCGTGTCGTGAATGGCGTGGGTAACGTGGCCCGCCAATTCGAAGGCCCGGCGGCGTTCTAACATGTGCCAATAAATAAATAGAATTTCGTGTACTTTTATACCAATTTTTTCCTCCTGCTCAGAGAATTTCACTTGGACTGATTTATATTTATCACAGATAATACAAAGGAAGTTGGTTTTTTGTACGCCGTGGCGCGCTGGCCAATAACCGCGCGCCGCTCGATAGTCGCGTGGCCATGATGCACATGTGTGGCGATGAAGAAAAACAATTGTACCCGCTTAAACATTACCCAAAATCACCCTTTAGCACGAAAAATAATCATTCTAGAAATATCGAAAAACGAAAAAAATCCATACTTTTTTCGGTCAATGTATATATGTAATAAGGCACTTACCAACCTAATACAACTTAATTCTGAATATGAAATCTGAAAATAAACGATTATTGTTAAATAAAACACTTTTTTGGTGAAGAGCCGTCTGTATTTTATAAATAATTTCAAGTTACAAAATTTGACAATTTTAGAGTTTTAGAAACATACAAATTCGTTTTTTAGTGGAACAAAATAATAACCTTTGAATATTGCACGATAAGAAAATTAGGCGAGTAAAAGCCCTTCACGCTTTTTTTAATTTTTTTTTAACAAAATATAAAATGTTGGCAGTATGTCAAAATGCGTTACCCCAAGTGACTAAAATAAATAGAATCGTAAATGAAAAATGTAATTTTGACATGCCGGCAACACTGTGTGTGTTTGTGGTCATAAATACCCCCCCTTTTTCTGTAAAAATGAAAAATAAGTCTTTTTAGATCACGTTGTAAAAACCTGTCTCGACAGATTTCACTCAACGGTAAATGTCAAAAAAAAAACCGATCGTGTTTTTTGACACCTACTGTATGCTAATGAAATGTAAAACTTTTAAAAACAATGTTCGTTGATGCGTGGTATTAATTTGGAAAATTTTGAACGTCCCGAAAGTTGCATCAACGCTTTTATATTGTCTAATTACTTATAATGTCGGTAAAAAAATATTCTTTTAGGAAAGCATTGATAAATAATTAGACATTACATGGGTAACCTTTTTGTGTCGCTTTGGAAGCGATTTGTTCCGCTTAACCAGAAAGGTTGGGCCGGCTAAGCGGGCGGAATCTCTTTATTTTAATAAACCAAAATAGCGCTTGTTTATTATTTTTTGAATTTAACACTTTCTCCTTGTCAGTCACTTGTTCCCATCACTTGTGCGGAGTCCTTTATCTCCTTTGATTGCATCACTTTGAGTTTCAGTTTGAGAGGTCCGTTTTTGTCGAACACCAAATTAAAACAGAGATTCTTCTCGCGGTGTTTTTTGCGGGTTTTAATGCGGTGTCCGACAAATTTATCATTACGGCGGGATTATCCAGCAACGAGCAGGTTATTGGCGTGTCGGGAATGGCGTGGGTAACGTGGCGCGCCAATTCGAAGGCCCGGCGGCGTTCTAACATGTGCCAATAAATAAATAGAATTTCGTGTACTTTTATACCAATTTTTTCCTCCTGCTCAGAGAATTTCACTTGGACTGATTTATATTTATCACAGATAATACAAAGGAAGTTGGTTTTTTGTACGCCGTGGCGCGCTGGCCAATAACCGCGCGCCGCTCGATAGTCGCGTGGCCATGATGCACAGGTGTGGTGATGTTAGGAAAACAACAATAATATTTACTCTGTATGCGCCCGAACATTACGCGAAATCACCCATTAGCACTTTGAAACGAAAAATCATCATTCTAGAAATATCGAAAAACGAAAAAAATCCATACTTTTGCCGGTAATAAGGCACTTACCAACCTTTTACAACTTATTTCTGAATATGAAATCTGAAAATAAACGATTATTGTTAAATAAAACACTTTTTTGGTGAAGAGCCGTCTGTATTTTATAAATAATTTCAAGTTACAAAATTTGACAATTTTAGAGTTTTAGAAACATACAAATTCGTTTTTTAGTGGAACAAAATAACCTTTGAATATTGCACGATAAGAAAATTAGGCGAGTAAAAGCTCTTCACGCTTTTTTAATTTTTTTTTAACAAAATATAAAATGTTGGCAGTATGTCAAAATGCGTTACCCCAAGTGACTAAAATAAATAGAATCGTAAATGAAAAATGTAATTTTGACATGCCGGCAACACTGTGTGTGTTTGTGGTCATAAATAGCCCCCCTTTTTCTGTAAAAATGAAAAATAAGTCTTTTTAGATCACGTTGTAAAAACCTGTCTCGACAGATTTCACTCAACGGTAAATGTCAAAAAAAACCGATCGTGTTTTTTGACACCTACTGTATGCTAATGAAATGTAAAACTTTTAAAAACAATGTTCGTTGATGCGTGGTATTAATTTCGAAAATTTTGAACGTCCTGAAAGGTGCATCAACGCTTTTTATATTGTCTAATTACTTATAATGTCGGTAAAAAAATATTCTTTTAGGAAAGCATTGATAAATAATTAGACATTACATTTGTAACCTTTTTTTGTGTCACTTTAGAAGCGATTTGTTCCGCTTAACCAGAAAGGTTGGGCCGGTTAAGCGGGCAGAATCTCTTTATTTTAATAAACCAAAATAGCGCTTGTTTATTATTTTTTGAATTTAACACTTTCTCCTTGTCAGTCACTTGTTCCCATCACTTGTGCGGAGTCCTTTATCTCCTTTGATTGCATCACTTTGAGTTTCAGTTTGAGAGATCCGTTTTTGTCGAACACCAAATTAAAACAGAGATTCTTCTCGCGGTGTTTTTTGCGGATTTTAATGCGGTGTCCGACAAATTTATCATTACGGCGGGATTATCGAGCAACGAGCTGGTTATTGGCGTGTCGGGAATGGCGTGGGTAACGTGGCGCGCCAATTCGAAGGCCCGGCGGCGTTCTAACATGTGCCAATAAATAAATAGAATTTCGTGTACTTTTATACCAATTTTTTCCTCCTGCTCAGAGAATTTCACTTGGACTGATTTATATTTATCACAGATAATACAAAGGAAGTTGGTTTTTGTACGCCGTGGCGCGCTGGCCAATAACCGCGCGCCGCTCGATAGTCGCGTGGCCATGATGCACAGGTGTGGTGATGTTAGGAAAACAATTATATTTACTCTGTATGCGCTCGAACATTACGCGAAATCACCCATTAGCACTTTGAAACGAAAAATCATCATTCTAGAAATATCGAAAAACGAAAAAAATCCATAATTTTGCCGGTAACTGAATATATTTAATAAGGCACTTACCAACCTTTTACAACTTATTTCTGAATATGAAATCTGAAAATAAACGATTATTGTTAAATAAAACACTTTTTTTGGTGAAGAGCCGTCTGTATTTTATAAATAATTTCAAGTTACAAAATTTTACAATTTTAGAGTTTTAGAAACATACAAATTCGTTTTTTTAGTGGAACAAAATAATAACCTTTGAATATTGCACGATAAGAAAATTAGGCGAGTAAAAGCCCTTCACGCTTTTTTAATTTTTTTTAACAAAATATAAAATGTTGGCAGTATGTCAAAATGCGTTACCCCAAGTGACTAAAATAAATAGAATCGTAAATGAAAAATGTAATTTTGACATGCCGGCAACACTGTGTGTGTTTGTGGTCATAAATAGCCCCCCCTTTTTCTGTAAAAATGAAAAATAAGTCTTTTTAGATCACGTTGTAAAAACCTGTCTCGACAGATTTCACTCAACGGTAAATGTCAAAAAAAACCGATCGTGTTTTTTGACACCTACTGTATGCTAATGAAATGTAAAACTTTTAAAAACAATGTTCGTTGATGCGTGGTAATAATTTGGAAAATTTTGAACGTCCCGAAAGTTGCATCAACGCTTTTATATTGTCTAATTACTTATAATGTCGGTAAAAAAATATTCTTTTAGGAAAGCATTGATAAATAATTAGACATTACATGGGTAACCTTTTTGTGTCGCTTTGGAAGCGATTTTTTCCGCTTAACCAGAAAGGTTGGGCCGGTTAAGCGGGCAGAATCTCTTTATTTTAATAAACCAAAATAGCGCTTGTTTATTATTTTTTGAATTTAACACTTTCTCCTTGTCAGTCACTTGTTCCCATCACTTGTGCGGAGTCCTTTATCTCCTTGATTGCATCACTTTGAGTTTCAGTTTGAGAGGTCCGTTTTTGTCGAACACCAAATTAAAACAGAGATTCTTGTCGCGGTGTTTTTTGCGGGTTTTAATGCGGTGTCCGACAAATTTATCATTACGGCGGGATTATCGAGCAACGAGCTGGTTATTGGCGTGTCGGGAATGGCGTGGGTAACGTGGCGCGCCAATACGAAGGCCCGGCGGCGTTCTAACATGTGCCAATAAATAAATAGAATTTCGTGTACTTTTATACCAATTTTTTCCTCCTGCTCAGAGAATTTCACTTGGACTGATTTATATTTATCACAGATAATACAAAGGAAGTTGGTTTTTTGTACGCCGTGGCGCGCTGGCCAATAACCGCGCGCGCTGCTCGATAATTGCGTGGCCATAATTATTAAGTGTGATGATGTTAGGAAAACAATTATATTTACTCTGTATGCGCCCGAACATCACGCGAAATCACCCATTAGCACTTTGAAACGAAAAATCATCATTCTAGAAATATCGAAAACGAAAAAAATTATAAAGTACGCTTTGTTCGGTGCCGGTTATCGTCTAAGTTACGGATTGTTCGTGTGTTGCGGCGAAGACACGGCGGTTACTTTTGGCCTTCGAGGTCCTCCTCGTCGATCATCTTGGCCACGTAGAGCTTGGGGTCGATCACTTTCGGTATGGGCTTGATCTCGGTGCCGAGCTCCTGCTCGATGCGGTGCAACGCGAACCGGTCGTCGTAAGTGATCAGGTTGATCGCGATACCGAGGTGCCCGAAGCGACCCGACCGCCCGATGCGGTGCAGGTACGTCTCGGCCATCTTCGGAAAGTCGAAGTTTATCACCACGTTGACGGCTTGCACGTCGATTCCTGCAACAGATTCACGCACAGGGTCAGCAGCCGTCTCAGCCATGGCATTATTAGATGGATAACGAGTCAATCCATATGAAAACGCCGAAACTCGTTGCTCGACCATCTTGAATTTTGTTCAAATTTTATAGAAATATTCATTAGGGTCCCAAAGGACAAAATCCACCCTTATTTAATTTTTCGCATGTGTCAAATCCGGCCTATTCGAATTAACACTTTTTAAAAACGTCATTTTTATGCTTTAATAATTTAAGCTGTAATTTTTTTTCTATTTAAGATATTTTAAATTTTAAGATGTCATTTTAAACCTAAAATATAGTAGTTTTTATAAAAAAAATATAAATTCACTATTTTTAAACACAAGCACAAGCACAAGCACAAGGTGCTAAAAAAACGTGTATTTTACTAATGTTTCGTGTTTTTTAAATGCGTCCCATGTCTCGGCTGTTTAATATTAACAGCTAATTTTGTTCATATACAGACTGTATAGAATCAAGTAAGTAAGGCTGGAGACAAGGATGACAAATTATATTCTGATCAGAGAAAAAGAAACAAACTTTAATTGGGCGTGGTTTAAACCAAGCCATTCGTAATTACGAACCATAGTTGCCAGGTTGTTTTAAATCGGAAGAGAACGATTATAATTATTTAATAAATAGTTCAATTTTAATTGTTTGAAACTTTAAAAATAACAAAAAAATTAATAATATGTCAAAAATAATTTGATTTAGTTAATTTTCTTACTTTTAATATTAAAAAATAAGAAAAACAACCCTTTTAGGAAACAATAATAGCATATGGCAATAGCGCGGCATGCAGTTTGATCTACTGTGTTTGTTCAATAGTTCCGACGCTGTCGTAGGGAAATGTGTATAGTTTTTAAGAAATACATTTTCGCCATTAACTGGAATTTAATAGATTTTAAACAATACTTAGTTTTTATTTGCAGAAATGCATTAAAACAAAACAAACGAATTCGATAAAAATAAAACCTATAAATTCTCAATCCCTACCACAGTGGGCGGGGTTTGGCACTTGTTTTATTTAAGTGCATCTATTCGTTTTAATACACACTGTATAAAGTTTACATACCAAAGACAAAATAAAACAATTGGCCCGTTTGGCATACGGTTTCCAAACAAAAAAATTGCTTGAAATTTTGGAATTCTAGAAAATAGCATTATTTAGGCCGTTATATGAGGATGTTGACTTCCAAATAGAACTATGAAATTTACAGGATAATTAATCCCTACCTTGATGCTCAAATGCCTGGTAGTTTGGTTTTGTTATTTTCATCTTTGAAGCTTATACAGTAGCTTTAAAAGGAGAAAAATATTGAAATATTAAAAAGTCCATTTTATAAGTACCTATGTTGACTTCAATATAGAAATATGAAATTAACAGGATATTTAGTCAATTGTAAGTTTTATTTTGTCTTTAGTATGTAAACTTTATAAATAAAAAAATTTTTCTGTTTATATTAAACAGCCGAGACATGGGACGCATTTAAAAAACACGAAAAATTAGTAAAATTACTCGATTTTTCAGCACAGTGTAATTATTTAGAAATATTGATTGAGTGAATTTATATTTTTTTATAAAAACTACTATTTTTAGCTAAAATGACATCTTAAAATTTAAAATAAAAAAATTACAGCTTAAATTATTAAAGCATAAAAATGACGTTTTTAAAAAGTTTTAATTCGATTAGGCCGGAGTTGACACATGCGAAAAAATAAATAAGAGTGGATTTTGTCCTTTGGGACCCTAATGAATATTTCTATAAAATTTGATCAAAATCCAAGATGGTCGAGCAACGAGTTTCGGCGTTTTCATATGGATTGACTCTAACGCTTATTGGTAAAATTATTTGTAAAATAACTCATTTTTGATAATGCTCAAAAGTTTTGATCTTCATTTTGAATTTTTCTCAAAAGGATTGAAAGGGTTCCCAAATCATTATTTTTTTTTGGACAGCATTAAAAATGAGTAATTTTGCAAATAATTTTGTTTACCGAAGAATAAGTTTTTGGCGCTTGGTTCCTTTTCGATAAACGTTATCCAGATAATAGTTTGAAGATTAAAGTTTAGCACTTTAATGATGTTTTAACGGAAATTTACAAAGTTGATGGTCAAAAAATATTTTAAATATAAAATTCAACTGTAAAACTTTAAGCTAAAAAATATTGATTTTTAAAAAATTTAGTACAAATACAATGCGCAACAAGTAAAAAAAATCCAACTCTAAAATGCCTTTACCAATCTTTCTATAAAAATACTTTAACTTATATCCCAGTTTACGTTTTCAAGGGTTATTCGAGAAAATATCCTTAATTTCCTTATTTAATAATAAAAAAACGCTTAAAAATTTTTTTTTTAAGTAAATAAAAAATATGCTGTGAAATACCGTATTTTTGTAAGTATAATAACGTGAAAATTTTGTACAAATCAAACAGTAACGAAAATACAGCGCTTTAAAGTCGTCAAAAATGGCCACTTTTCAGCAAAATAATAAAAGGGGTCATTTTTACCGACTTCGAAGCGCTGTATCTTCATTACTGTTAGTTTGATTTGTACAAAATTTTCAGGGTATACTAACGAAAATACGGTCTTTAACAGCATATTTTTTATTTACGTAAAAAAATTCCCTTAAAGTTATTTTTAGAACGTTTTTTTAATTATTAAATAAAAGAGCTTTAAAAATATTTTCTCGAAAAACTCTCGAACACGTAAACTGAGATATAAGTTGAAGTATTTTTATACAAAATTTCATAAAGATTGGTAAAGGCGTTTTAGAGTTGGAAATTTTTTACTTATTATGCGTTAATTTTGACGGGCAGTGTATTTAATTTTGCAAAAGTACCTGTTTAAATTTGTAGTCATAAAATGATAGTCAATAAATTTGTAATAAAATTATCACATTAAATTTAAATGTTAGATTTAAATTTTCCATCTTTCCATCTAAAATCGACCAAGGAAAAATGGGTAGGTCGTTATTTTTCAACTAATCTTTTTTAACAGTTTCTCTACCGAAATATTTGCTTAAATTTGTTTTATTTACCCGTAGGAAATTTTTGAAAAATGGACAGAAATATCGATTTTTCTCTTTTAATGAGTGACAAAATGTTTAGATCGTTACAATAAAAAATTGTAGGTACATGTTTAAGACAAACCAAAAAAATTAAGTAAATTCACTCAATTTTTTTTAATTGTTTTTTTTTAAGGCAAAAAAATTGCGGTCACAATTTTGACTTTGCCACATTTTTTTTTCTTCATATTTTTTTCGTATGATGTTAATAAAAGGAACAACTTTTTCCTAAAAGTCCCGAGTTGGCTAAATTCGTTGTTTAGGAAAAAATTTCGGTAGAGAAACTGTAAAAAAAAATAACGACCTACCCCTTTTTTCGATTTGAAATGGAAAGCCCCCATTTTAAAATTTAAAGCTAACATTTAAATGTAATGTATGAATTTTTGTATTAAAAATGTATCAACCATCATCTAATTCAATTTTTAAAAACCTATATTTTAAACTGAATCTTTTACATTTTTATATTTAAACTATTTTTTGATTATCAATAGTTTTGTGTTAAAAAAAATTAACTTTTTAAAGTATGTTGGTAGAAAATGTCTTGACACTACTTTTAAATACTTAAAAATTTAACTTAATCTAAATAATTTTATTAAATATTTATTTAAGATTTACAAAATTCTGCCCAAATACTAGTGTTTTTATAGAGAAAATTTAGTTTATTTTGTTGTTTATATTTTGTAGTTGTATTCAATAAAAATCAACAAAACATGAGACGGGCTTTTTTGTTTTAATAAAAGAATCCGATTTAAATAAAAAAAATTGTATTTGGCACATCCAATGTCTCTAAAACTAATATTCAATAGACACCAACAATCAAAACCAAGTTATTTGTTTAGCATAAATGTTCCCCCAACATAAATATTGGGATTTCAGTGGGGCTTACTCATATGCATGCATTTAAAATGCGTTGTAGAAGTTTAAAAAATGCAAAATTAGATAAGATAAATATTATCTTTGAAATACACAAACAATTTCTATCGTAATTTACGATAGAGAACAATTATGTACATTTCAAAGTTACTTTTATCTTTGGCCACGAATAAAACCCAATTTATTTGGTCGCTTACCTCTTGTGAACAAATCCGAACAGACCAGGTTCCTGCAAAGTCCGTTGCGGAAGTCGTGGAACACGCGGTTACGGTGCGCCTGCGCCATCTTGGCGTGAATGTAGTAGCAACAGTAGCCGAGTTCGGTTATCTTTTTCGCCAGCAACTCGACGCGCTGCGTCGAGTTGCAGAATATAATACTTTGGTTGATTTGCAACTGCAAAGAGAAAATAACGATATCGGCCTTGGAATTTCAAGTTGTTGCCAACATAATTTTATGACAGATAAATTGTAACTAATGTATAACTAGATAAAAAACAAACACTGTTTTTTGAGTTGCACGAATTTATTTTAATTTAATTTTAAAAATTGTTTTGAGGCAATTTTTATAATTAAATTAAAATAAATTCGTGAAACTCAAAAAACTATGGCACGACGTTTTAGCATTTATTAGATAAGTTTGAAGAATAAAGTTTAGCACTTTAATGATGATTTAACAGAAATTTACAAAGTTAAACTTTTCTAAACTCAAAACAATTAATAGTCAAAAAATATTTTAAATATAAAATACAACTGTAAAAAACTTTAAAATAAAAAATATTGAAAAATTTTAGTACAAATATTTTTTTTTATAAAATTATTGGTTTAAATTTGTAAAGTCATTTAAATGTGAGTTTAAAACTTTGAGGTGGTAATTTTTGGATTGAAAATTTATCGACCATTATTTAAAAGACTTTTCACAAATTTAAACCAAAACTTTTTACTTTGAACAATTTTAAATTGATACATTTTTGTTAAAAATAAAATTTATTGCTTTAAATTTCTCAAGTCATTTAAATGATAGTCAATAAATTTTTAATCCAAAAATTACCACCTTAAAATTTAAATTATTGTATTAAAATGTATCAAATATCATTTAAAACTCCTTATCAATTTTAAACCAATAATTTTGTAGAATAAAATATTAAAACTAAAATTTTTAAAAACCAATATATTAAACTTAAACTTTTACATTAAAAATATTTTTTGATTATGAACTGTTTTAGGTTTAAAAAAATTTAACTTTTTAAACTATTTTGGTAGAAAATGTTTTATATTTTTTTATTTTAAATGTCTACACTATTTTTAAATACTAAAAAATTTAACTTTACCAATTTAATCTAAATAATTTTATTAAATATTTATTTAAGATTTACGAAATTCTGCCCAAATAAATTATACCCAAGTGGAAAATTATTTTTATTAAAAAATGATTGTTAGAAATTTTTGCAAAATTTATTGGAAATAATATTGTTGGTAAATTTTTCTTTCAATACATGTGTGTTGAAAATATTTTAAATTTATAAATGTAAACCTAACATGTTTATTTAGGAAATTTTAAATTAAAAAATTATTTAATAAATGTTAAAACAGCGCCATAAAAACTGTTTGTTTTGTATCTAGTTATACATTAGTGACATGTCACGGCGCCCCGGACAGGGGGGACTACCACAAAGTTTGGTCACTGAAAATTTTTCAACGGGGTTTCGTTCGTTATTGTATTCTGAGACGGAAAATACCGAAAAGTAAATCGAAGCAACTCCTTTTTTTAATTTTACGAGAAAAATGCATTTTTGCCCTAAATTTATTTATTAAAAAAATATTTGGGTACATAATTATATATTAATCATTTATATATTTATTTAAAACATACATAATATGTGTATTATACTAAACATAATACTACTTTAATAATAATATGGGATACAATCCTATACTTATAATTCAAAATTCCTTTTTCAAATTTTATAAAAATTAACAACTTGATTTTTTATCAAAAGGAATACTTTTTAAATTATAAACATTTTATTAAGATAAAACATAATTTCTTCACATTGACTTTAAATATGTGTACTATTATATCGACAAATGGCACTTAATATTCTATTATCAAACTCAGCCTGACTCTTAGACACTTTAAAAAAAGCCCATACTTTTAGAAAATCATAATTAACTGACTCAAAAGCCTGCTCGCTGTAAAATCCGAGACTTTTTTTTATGTTTTGCGCAAAAATCTTTTACCTGATAAAATGTTGCATGTACTTTTGGTGTTACAGGTGAGTTCAATTTTAAGTAACAAGTTTTAAAATGATTTATACTATCTTCGAAACTTTCTGCAAGTTCATTTCCAAAACAGTCCTTTACAACTTTTTCAAAATTTTGTAAAACTTCAGCATAAATGACACAAATTATTTAGAATGGTATAAGGCGGATTCAAATAAGAAAGATGCATATTTTAGTTGTATAAATCCTGCAATAGTTTCGGGATCAGAAGAACATGCCATAAATGACATTTTGACGCCACCTGAACTACATTTGATGTTAGGCGTAGTAAATCACATTGTGAGTCATATGATGAAGGAATGCAATGAAGATGCTTTAAAATAGGTTAAAGCATGCAATGTTTGCGGCATGGGGGTGCATCTTTTAATGGCAATGCTTGCAGAAATTTATTGAAAAAAGAGTACAGTTTAAATTGTGTCAAATATGCTGAAGTTTTACAAAATTTTGAAAAAGTTGTAAAGGACTGTTTTGGAAATGAACTTGCAGAAAGTTTCGAAGATAGTATAAATCATTTTAAAACTTGTTACTTAAAATTGAACTTACCTGTAACACCAAAAGTTCATGCAACATTTTATCACGTAAAAGATTTTAGCGCAAAACATAAAAAAGTCTCAGATTTTACAGCGAGCAGGCTTTTGAGTCAGTTCATTATGATTTTCTAAAAGTATGCGCTTTTTTTAAGTGTCTGAGAGTCATGCTGAGTTTGATAATAGAATATTAAGTGCCATTTGTCGATATAATAGTACACATATTTAAAGTCAATGTGAAGAAATTATGTTTTATCTTAATAAAATGTTTATAATTTAAAAAGTATTCCTTTTGATAAATACTCAAGTTGTAAATTTTTATAAAATTTGAAAAATGAATTTTGAATTATAAGTATAGGATTGTATCCCATATTATTAATAAAATAGTATTATGTTTAGTATAATACACATATTATGTATGTTTTAAATAAATAAATAAATGATTAATATATAATTCTGTACCCGAGTATTTAAAAAAAAAAAAATATAGGGCAAAAATGCATTTTTCTCGTAAAATTAAAAAAAGGAGTTGCTTCGATTTACTTTTCGGTGTTTTCCGTCTCAGAATACAATAACGAACGAAACCCCGTCGAAAAATTTTCAGTGACCAAACTTTGTGGTAGTCCCCCCTTTCCGGGGAGCCGTGATGTAGTTTCATCAAATAAAGGTAGCCCTAGATTAAGGGGGGCTTTGGGGGCTCTAGCCCCAGGCCTCGCCATTAAAACGGGCCCATTCTCAGTCAGGCATTTTATCTAGGTCTAGATAAAATAAAAAATACAACTAAAATATTTTTTATCAAAAAACATCCTGAAATATAATTTGTGTTTAGTAGGCGTCCAAAAGTAATTTTAGTAACTATTTATAAATTTTAAAAAGAATATTTATGATAAATGTTGATTAATATTAAACTTAAGCTATATAATTATATTAACAATGGTAACATTTATTTTTACTAAGTTGGTCGTACCAATTTTTGAAAAACAAAAAAAATAAAATAAAATAAAAATTTGATATAATTTATTGTTTTTGATAATATGTTATGAGTTATAACTTATTACCAATATTTTTAATTATTGCATACGTTTTTAAAATTTAAAACTATTGTTTTAACAATTTTGATGCTGAGCGCTTTTTATAAAAAAAATCACAAGAAATATTTTATAAAAGTTGAGATAATTTTAATAATTGACAGGTGTAAATCTTTTTTTGTCCCGTCCACACCTTTCAATTATTAAAATTATCTCAACTTTAATAAAAATTTTCTTGAGATTTTTTTAACATATAAAAATTCTGTTTTTGTTTTACATACATTATTATATAACCTTTACTGAACGTGGGTATTAATTTAATTTTAAACAAAAAACTTTATTTTTCGTAATTCTGTAATTTTTTTTTGAATAACCGTGAATTTATTCGTAACCGTAGAGCTAACCGTAACCGTAACCGTAAAACCCGAAACCGTTGCATCACTAAATAAAATATATAAATTATAGCTTGCTAACTGACAAGTCTAAAAGAATTTTACGTTCGAAATTCTTAGACTTGTCTGTTAACAGTTCAAGGCGCAACCGAAAGCAAAACTTCTTACCTTAGAGAACAGAGTGTTGAGGCAGTGCACCTTTTGCCTTTCCTGCACGAAGGCGTAATATTGCGTGACCCCTTTGAGCGTGAGTTCCTCCATCAGGTTAATTTCGTAGGGATCGCGCAGGTGCTTGCGCATGAACTGCTCGACGGTGAGAGGAAACGTGGCCGAGAAGAGCAAGATCTGCCTCTCGGTGGGCAAATTTTTGATGACGGTGTCGAGCATGCCCTTGAAGTCCTGCGAGAGCAGCTTGTCGGCCTCGTCGAGCACCAAGATCCTGCACTGGTCCATCACGGCCACCTTCTTCTCCATCAGGTCGAGTATGCGGCCCGGGGTGGCGATTATCACCTGCACCTTCTGGTAGATGCGCATGATGTCGTCGCGCAGGTTCGTGCCGCCGGTGGTCACCATGACGCGCACGTCCAGGTGCTTGGCCAGCTCGATGCAGATCTGAGAGGTTTGCAGCGCCAGCTCTCGCGTCGGCACTATTATCAACGCCTGTATGCAGTCTTTTTTCGGGTCGATCTGCTCCAGCACCGGTATGCTGTAAGCGCCAGTCTTTCCTTTAACCAACGCAACAACTTCAAAGACAATCGCAAAAAAAAACAAGTGGGTGGTTTTTTTAACCAAAACTTGGTTATTCCATTACAAACGTTACTGAGGATGAAAAAATAAATACAGGGCTCCCACGGCTAAATTACAATTTTTTGTAAAATTTTAGGAGAAATAAAGTGTGGAAATGAATTTCTTTAATTAAATAAAAACAACTCTTTACTTCTTAAAAAATAAGAAAAAAGTTATATTGACTAGTTTTTTAGCCAAATCGCTCGACGAGTTTTTTTTTTAAATAAAATTAAAAGAGGTAAAATTACTACTTTTGTATATATATGAGGTACATATATAACTCGCGCCACAGAGAAAAAGGGAACGTACCGAAAGTAATTTGAAACACATATTTAAAAATTCAAATTGTCCAACGCAAAGGATAAAGGAGATAAGAATAAAAAACGATAGCCAATCGCAATAGATCACCACAGGGAATTCTTTAAATTGCTAGGATACTTAGGTTGCATTGTTGATAATAAAAAATATGTAAAATATTTGGTCCACTGGAATCCAATTCATTGTAAAACTGCTGTCAATCTTTAATATTATATTAGGTTATAAATTAAGTTATTATTGACAATGCTGTCAATCTTTACTTTTGTCATTAATATTGTATTAGGTAATAAATTAAGTTATTATAAATAATGTTCTCCTTGATGATTATACCGAAATGATAACTATTTATGGGGAGCGTGGGCGCAAAAAAAGCTAAATAAAGTACAACTGGTTTGATTTTTTACTTTAAAACATTGGCGTTCTGAAGTATCAGTCATAGATTAATAACCACATATTTTAAAGCTTTTGACAACTTAGTAAATACAGTTGGCCAAAAGATTTTTAAATGTTTTTAAGACAACAATGTTCTATCATCTCCTAGCAATTTTTAAAGCTCCTACGTTTAACCTAGGCGAGATGTCTTGGTATTGGCTGCCGCTTTTTTGCTCTCATTCGATTACACTATTACCTAGAAATTTTTTATTTTTAAATTTGGCATCTCCATTGCTATCGGCACGCCCCCTTTTTCTCTGTGGCGCGAGCTCTGGGACACCCTGTATATACAAGTATAAATTTCAGCACACTTTTAATTTAATTTAAAAAAATACGTCGATAGATTTGGCTAAAAAACCAGGCCAAAATCAAATGATGTTATATTTATATTTTAAGAAAAAATATGTTAACTGTTTAGTTAATAAGTAACAGTAATTGAATCAGTAAGATTAAGAATAGTACAAGTCCAAAAGTAAAATGCACTTTTGTTAAAATATTTTAACTATATTATGAAATATAATATTTATACTCTGTAAAATAATTTATATCTTCTCACAAAAATGTATTTTAAATTTTAAAATTAATTTTAGAAAATAAATTGTCAAAATTAAATTTGTGGACTTGTAATGTTCTTATTCTCGTCGATTCAATTGTAATGTGGATCTTAATACTTAAAAATCTCATAACAAAATATGAAGTTTGCAAAATACAGCAAAACATTCTTTAGATTGTTTACTATTGTAGCTGTTTGATATATAACACGGTATATTTTTGTATAAAACAAACGAAATATGGCTAAAAATGACAATTTTGTAGAAGTTTCTTTTGTTGCTTTTTTAAGAAAAATTTTGGTTGTGATATATCATTTTAAGAAGAATTTAATAAAATAGAACCTGAAAATATATATTTTTAAATTACTTTTTAAAAAAGAATTTTTTAGCGCGACAACTACCTTAATTAAACGCAGTCAGGTTGGCCTATTTAAATTTAATTTTTAGGATTTTAGGAGTTTTAGAAGATTGAATGCAATTTTAGGAGTTTTCAAGATTTAAGCCAAATTTTAGGAATTTTATTAATTTTAGGAGGTGTGGGAGCCTGATATGTTCTTTTCGCATTAAATTCGATGAATTTTGAAAGAAAACATTCCAAATTATAATAGAAAATTTCTAGATTCTGGTAGAATTTTTACTGTAGAAACCTTATTAATAAGTTATAATTAAGATTAGAAAAACTCTGAGATACCGAAATTATGCAAAATTATGTCTCTGGGAAGTTTTTTTTAGGTTGTCTATAAGACAACTTATTTTTTCAAGTGGAAATATTACTTTTAGTAACAACACCACCTTACTTATAGTTTTCCCATCCCTAATTTGAATTAGTACCAGCATTGTTTACTAATAAAATAGTAGTTTTCACTTTTAAATAGTTAATTTTTACTACTTAAATAGTTAAAGCTTGACTAATTTAAGATAAATCACCATCTTTGACTGTTTCCAAGAGTAAAAAGTAGCTATTTTTTTAATTATTGCGGTTAACAACAAATTATTGTTAAAGTTAACATGTATAATAGGGTGGGCCGAAAATCCGCTTTTTTAGAATTTCGTTTAGTAATAGCAAAAATTTTGTTCATTGTGTTGTAAAAAAATTTTGTGTAAAAGATTAAAATTTTCGATCAACATCCTAGGCTCGCCCAACGCAATTAAAGATCAAAATGTTCAAAAAAAATTTTTCTTAATTTATTTCGATCGGAAATTTTATGCTCTACACAAAATTATTTCAGATGGATAGTTTCAGAAATTTGTTCATTATGTTGTAAAAAAAATTTGTGTAAAAGATTAAAATTTTCGATCCTCATCCTAGGCTCGCCCAGCGCAATTAAAGATCAAAATGTTCAAAAAAAAAATTTCCGAACTTAATTCGATCGGAAATTTTATGCTCTACAAAAAAGGTCCTTACACTAAATTACTTCAGATGGATAGTTTTAGAAATAAAACCGATTTTAGTATCAAAATTTTTTTGAACATTTTGATCTTTAATTGCGTTGGGCGAGCCTAGGATGTTGATCGAAAATTTTAATCTTTTACACAAAATTTTTTTACAACATAATGAACAAAATTTTTGCTATTACTAAACGAAATTCTAAAAAAGCGGATTTTCGGCCCACCCTAATGTATAATGTATATGGCCTATAAAACCAAAGATGCAATAAGTTTAGCTCAAAACAGCAACACAAAAAAGATATTCAACTTTAAAATATTATTACAACTTATTTTTATAAAAGATCATCTTTATTGGACCAAAACAAACAAAAATATAAAATCCTATCAAATTTGACTTATCTAGTTTAAAATCAAGAAATTATGTAAAAATGTAAGATTTATAAAAAAATATGTAGATTTGAAGGAACATTTATATTTTTTCACTCTCCAAGCAAAATATTAAGGAAAAATGTTTTCCATTGAAATAACAGGAAAATAAGCATATTTTTTCAATTTAATTAATAATAAATTTTACGGTTTTACAATTTGCATAGGTGTAATTTGTACATAATTATGCTCTTCAAAAGTACAACAATTTTAATTAAACTCATATACTTGATTACGTCTCATAAGTTATATTTTTAATTAAAAGAGAGCATTCTTTGTAATTTACGACAAAACGATTAAAGTTACAGGCAAAAATTATAAAAGATTTGTATAGAAAATTTCCAATTTAACAGATTCTATGTATTACTGTAATAAAATGCATAGTTTAAGAGATTTATCATTTACTGGCATCTATGTAAATTGTAGCCAGCTATAGAAAATTGAAAAAAAAATCCTTAATATCCTGTTTCAATGGAAAAACTTTGAAATCAAAATAAAAGTACGTGGGTGAAAAATTAAGGGCTGAAATTTATTTATCAATATATTGCTTGAAGAGTAAAAAAATAATGAAAAATAGATCATATCGTCGGTCTTATGACATAAGGCCCTATCTCGATTTTAACTTTTCAGGAGAGCAATTTAAAGAAAACTGATATCTGTAAGTCAACACAACATAAAGAACTTTAACGATTTTCAATCTTATTTTTTGAAATTATGAACAACAATTCATGTAAGTTTTTTGTTAGATACCAAATTTCAACATAATAATTAACATATTGTTGCTGTTTTTAACGGTTTTTGTGCGATAGGGCCTTATGTTATGAGACCGACGATATGTATTGATAAATAAAATATGAAAAATTTGCCTTCCCAAAAAACATAATTTTAAGGTGCATAAATAAAAATTTTAAAAAATCCTGAGAAAATATATAGATTAACAATATAAAAGAAAATATATGATTCAAATAGTAAAACCAAATTTCTATTTCCATTAAAAATATAATTTGGATTCTTTCCAAAAATAATGTCCCATTTAAATAAATGTTTCAACAATAGGCAATTAAAACGTTAATATGGTAAATTTAAATTTAAAAAGCAATACAAAACTCAATGCATAAAATTAATTATTTCCCATATTCAAGTTAAAGCAAAAACTGTTTAATTTTATAAATACATTGTATGTGGTTTTAGGGAGTTTTTTATGCATCAGGCACAAAAAACAGCGACTAAAAACGAGTTATTTGTTAGCATATAACTGTAACATTAAAGATTCTGGCTTACTAAATAAATATACAAACAATTTAATTGAAAATGTGTCAAATGCAAAAAACTTACCAGTTCCGTTTTTGGCTCTTGCCAATATGTCTTTTCCAGAAAGTGCAATTGGAATTGAGGCTTCCTGAATTGGCGAGGGTTTTTCCCATCCTTTTTCGAATATGCCCATCAATAATTCACGTTTTAAGCAAAACTCTTCAAATTCGTTTCCTCGGGTATCCGTCACATCCTACGATGATTACACAGCTCATTAATATATCACTTAGTGCATAAATTGCTATTAACAGTAACTATGTATTATTTCAGTATAGTTTTGTATCATTAATTTGTATAAATGAAGGGGAATCCTTAAATCATCATATAGACCTTCACCCATGCGGTAAATAGAAAGTTTGCAACTTTATACACTGTGTTTCAAAATTGGAGCACATTTATTAAAATTATTAACTATTACTACTACCATTCAACAATCTTTTGTAAAACCCTGTGTTTAAAGAAAATATTATGTACTTGTTAATCCTATTATTGCCTTTTAAAAATTATATAAGAAAAATGAAAAATCTTATATAAATCATGCAAATCTAGAAAATAATGTTAAATCCTACAAAAATCAAGACAATTTGTGGGAAAGATAAATACAGGTATAAAAATTATGCCTTTTGATTTTTGGGTGCATATAAACATTTTAAGTATTTTTTATACATTAATATAAAAAAAACCCTAGCAATTACAGCAAGAGAAAAAATACAAGAAAATAATAGAGAATCTTAAAAATCATGAGTTTGGGAAATAATGAAAAAATCTTAAAGAATCAAAGAAAATTTATGGGAAAGATGAATATTGGTACATTTTATGTGCCTAAATTTTAAGTAAAAATTACATATATTTATTTCCTTTGGTAACTTTTGGGATTTATTCTATAATTTTATTTTACAAAAAAATGTACATTAATATATAAAAAAATTAAAACCTTGCAAATGTAATAAAAAAGGAGAAATTATGTAAAAAATGCAAGATTTATATGAAAAATAAAGAATCTTTTTTGCCTTATAAAAATCAAATAAGACAAAATGAAGAATCTTAAAAATCTGGTAAATGATGGTAAATTTAACAAAAAGGCATAAATAAACATTTTAAATAAATAAAAATTACATCAAAAAGTCCCACATTGACATTTGAATAATTGAGGTTATGTATCTGTCAGTTTAACGCCAATTTCGTCTCATTTTCTGAATATAATACAATATAATATATAAAGGTCTTAATTTAGATTACAAAAATACATATATTGTATTATGTAAATATGTTTATAAAAACTGATTCCATAACAATAAAAAAAAATTACTTTCAAAGTTTGTGTAATTTTTTTTTATTTTTGATCTAATAATTAAACTGAATCTTTGGTAAAACCCTGTATAAATAAAATTTCAAAACTTTGCAACACAGTGTAACTGAAGTTGATAATAATAATTATTATTAATTTCATGAATAAAAGTAGGTACTTACACTGGTCTGAATTCTTTTGTCTTTTGGAGGGATTTTAAGCTTTGATTTCCAGCCCAGGTCATCCATCTTGTTATCCAAATCCCTATAAGAAATGAAAAAAAAAAATGAAAAATTGTATTTGATAATCGAGTGGAGTTTGGTGGGACTTACACTTTGTTGGACAAAGCCAAGACATGGTTGTTCGAAAGAGTGTCTGTCATCATATCAATTTCACAGTTGAAGTGTTAGAAAAAATTGGGGGTTTATAAAACCCAATAAATAAACTTCTACAATGTGTAGGAACAGTTTTACTCGTTTACATACAATCCTTATGTAGATCGGATTATACCTCTGGAAAGAAAAATCTAAATTTAAACTCCCGAACACAGAAATAAAAACAAGAACACGAAACAGTTACTATCTTAAAATAGATCTTTGTTGTATATACCCGAAATATTATCAAACAGTATTAAACGAATGTAATTGTTGGCGAAATACACGTAAATCGAACACGAATACCGTTGGATGATAAGAAAAAAACCAGATTAGATAATTAATTTAAAAAAATGGCTACGACGCATAAAATACCATCAAGTACAGTAAAAATTTCAGTTCATTACCTGGATCTATAAACTCGTCCTCCGCCTTTATAGATTTATAAAAATATCTTACAATTCATTTCAATATTCAATTTTCACGATTATTATTCTCTTCTATTCGACGTTTTATCTTTGATATGAACGCTTTACTTCCCACAAAGAAAATGATTTTCGGTAAAATGGCTCCGGTTAACGTTCAACGCGAACTCTAGCGAATCTTTTTTACATTGCGCATCAACAAGACACCTACATTACCAACCACTATAACCGCCAAATTCAAATGCAATTGGATTTTTATCGTTTTTAACTAGGCATAAAGATTTTTATATCTAATAAATACTTAATGTGGAATGGTTAAACATATATCGATGAATTTAAAGCCTTTTATCATTCTAAAACTAAACAATTAACGGAAATCACAAAAATTAAGGCGCAACAGGTGTTTATTTATTTAATTTAAAATAGAGTAATACCACACAAATTTGTTTAGTCGTTTTTATAGAAAGTAATAAGTATTTAAAGCGAGGAATAATAAAACAATAAATAACTTTAAAGAAGATACTTTATTTTAACAATAAAATATTTTTATTTAATTTTTATACTCTTAGATACTGTTGCTTTAATTCCTGATATTTCTCCACCATATCTCGATAATTCCTTTCTTGGTTCACGGACCTAGATAAAAGAATTATTATTTTAAATATTAAAAAAATTAAAATTTTACTTACAGCTCCCTTTCTGCGTATAACAGCCTTTCTGAACTTCTGTCGATGTTTGACTCTTGGATTTCTCAGCTCCTTTTTTCTGTGTGGGGTTAATCCCTTGTTTTTCTCCATTTGGTAGGTAATTTTTCTCCTTTCCAATTCATTTTCTTGGTTTTCTTCCACCTCCATTTCTTCATTTTGTTCAGTTTCTTCTTCTTCATTTTCCTTCTCCAATTTTTGTTTTTTACTTGGTTGTTCATCAGCAAAGTTCACAGATTTTTTCTTGTTTGGTTTTGGTGCAGTTCTTTTATTTATTTTGTTTAGGATTTGTAAAGTTTTCTTTTGATTTGATTTCATAGTTTTTTGTTCCTCCTTAAATATAAAATAGGTATATAAAAATGTTATTTAATTTATTGTTATGTTGACTTACCTCTTCAAGTAGTAAAACTTCAATTTGTGGTTTAATAATTTCTTCGAAAGTACTTTCAAGTTGTGTTAAAAGTTGCCTATATTGGTATAACCGTTTGGCAACTGGATGGTTTTCAACATTTACTCTTGAGGATTTCAGCAGTAAATACATGTATATGTTTGTAGCATAACTAGAACATAATATAACAAGTTAAATAATATAAGAATCGTTAGCCTTTTGGATTTCCAATAAAGTTTATTATTATTATTATTAATATAAGAATATAAAAAAACTCACTTTAAAATTAACTCATAATGAGTCTGAACAAAATCTATAGCCCCACAGTTTGGTATTTGTCCTTTTTTGTATTTCTGTATTACAGGGTTTAATAATTCCTTGGCAATCAAAATTTTTTCTTCAAAATCCTCAATTAAGCCAAAAAATTCAGGCGATTCTTTCTCCAATATTTGCAGCTTTTGCCTTTTGGACAATTTAGAAATGTCAGTTTTTACCACTTCTTCTATTTTCTTCTTGTCTTCGTCGGATTTCTATTGATCACAAAAATAAACAAGGTGTAAATTGCACGTAATTTAAAAAAATTACCTTTGTAAAAATGTCAAGTGAAAAATCATCATCATCGAGCTGTTCTGCTAGCTGTTTTTGCAAATTCTTGGCTTCCTCTTCTTCCAATTCAGCCAAATGGGCATCTTTCCCATCAAAACCGCCATAATCTGCATCTACATAATCTGTGGAATAATACTTTCTTCTATCTTTACCCCATGCTCTTTCATTTGGTAAATCATCATCTTCTTGACCTTCCACATCGCTTAGCGCTATATCGCTTTGATCTTCATCACTATCGTCAGCGCCTACACCCAGGACTTCATCCTAAGAAACAAAGAACCCATAAGAATCACACAAATACTCCCTAAATTAAGCTTACTTCACTCTCTGAATCTTTACGTTTTCTGTTTCTGACTTTCTTTAATAATCCCTTTTCTTTTTCAGTGTAATCATCTTCAGAGTCTGAAGGGTTGTATTCTTCATCGTCAAACCTACAAAATACACATAAATATGTTGGTATACACTAAATTTTGAGCATTTACTTGAGATGGGAAGGCATTTTTGCCAATTTTGACACGTTTTGTAAAAAGTGAGGTTATTTTGTTATGATGTGAATATCGCCCTCTATTGAGATTTATTTGATATGTTGTATTTATAGGATTCTGTAAATTACTAGGGGATTTTATTTTTTAAAGTTTTTCCAGTGTAAATTAGATTTTGACAGCTCTTGAGCAAGCGTCGCAGAGTTTTTTTGCTTTATTTATGGATTTTTAGCTATTTTAACGCAAAAAGGTGTGTTTCTTATTGAAAGTCGTTGTATTATTAGTAATTGTGTGATATTTTAGCTGTTAAAAATGGCTCTGCCTGCTAATTATAAGCAGGTTTCGATGCAAATGCCGAATACCCAATCATCGAACCGTAAGTAACAAACAAAAAATCATTTTAAAATGGACAAAATATGAAGTAAAAAAAGCCGCGGGTAGAATATGTAGAACATTTTTGTTAGATTAAATTATAGCTTGTCGATCGCATGCGTATATTTTTTCATAAGATGCTGGTTCTTATAATTTGGCATCAGAATTATTATTTACTGAATTAAAAGCATGGTAAATACATTACCTATGGTATAAGCCTTTTTTAAACTATGATTTGCAATTGTAATTTTTGTTTTTTATGTAGTTTGTAATAGCTAAAAAGGAACACTATTCTTGTTATTGAAAATACACTAATTTAGGTTTTTTTTATACAAGTTTTCAAATAGTTTTAACAATAATTATTATTTATATCTTGGAAAAAAACAAACATGAACAGTGTTCCTCCTGAAATAATGCAAATCATAGTAAAATTTGTAGGATAGTGCTGATGATATGCTTTGTTTGTGTTTGTTGTTCAGATTTGCTGTCGGCAGGTGCCCCAATGACTTTCAACATTTTGAAAGGTAACTGCAAATTTTATGGTTTACTATTATTATTAACAAACTCTCGATCATAAGACACTTTTGCTTTAATTAGTTAAACAGTTATTACTTAAGTAATTAGACCGAGCTTAAGCTTAACAAACATAAATGCCATTTAATTCAAATTTAATTTAATTGTTTTCTTTGTAAGGTTTGTTTTTTATTTGTGTTATTTGCAAGAATTTGTATGGGTATGTACATTTTTTATTATTTTTTATACCTATACTAGTCTACCAAATATTAAAATGTTCCAAAGACCAAATAAATAAAAAATGAACATTATATTATAATTATTATTTAACAAGCTTTTTTGTTTTTTCAAACTGTTATTTTTGATTACTTATTTAGTCAATTTTTGTTAATTTTATTTTAATAACAATAATGTTTGTCTGTAAAATGTCCAAAGAGGTAAGTTGTGAATATTTTTTTGTAATTATTTAAATAAATTCAGTTTTTTACTCACTAGAGGCATGTTCTATGTTTTTTTTTAATGTTAAAGATTACAAATTAGACTTTTAACCCAAATTTGTTTTATAGAAAGGTTAAGAGCTTCTGGAGGTTCAAGTTCTAGTGCCAATGTAAGTTTAATGTTAAAATGACTAAATTTTTAAAAAATTTCAAGGTGTTTTTACAGAAAGAAACAAATCCTTTTACAACAACACCCAGTGGCAACCCGGCATTTTTGCCGCAGAAAATCGGAAAAAGTGCTGCTGTAAGTAAAAATAAAAAAAAAACAAGTTTGTATTGGTCAAATATCTTGAAACGTTTTTGGAGTTCTAATATTATTTATAAAAGAAAAAAATATTTTAAAAAAATTAATATTTTTTTCTATTCACTCCGTTTCGCGGTATTTTCAAATCTTGTGATATGTTTTAATAAAAACATGCAAATGTAATCAAACAAAATAGTTATGGAAAAAGGCAAAACTTGATTTTATTTCCATAGAAAAATGAGGCGAGAACTCCAAAACCACCGAAAGCACCGGAAAAACCGCTGATGCCTTACATGAGGTACAGCAGAAAAGTATGGGACACAGTGAAAAACCAAAATTCCGAATTAAAATTATGGGAAATTGGAAAAATTATCGGTCAAATGTGGCGAGACCTGCCCGAGGATGAAAAAAGCGAATTTGTAGATGAATATGAAACGGAAAAGGTAAAAAGTGGTTTGTTTTGTACATTTTTTTCTAATATGTTTTATATGTAGGTTGAATATGAAAAAACGTTAAAAACATACCATAATTCGCCAGCCTATTTGGCTTTTGTTGCAGCCAAAAATCGCGGAAAAGGTGGTAAGTTGTCAGAAAATAGTCGGTCACTTTTGGTACCTACCTGACAAAAAAGGAATTCTTTTTTTTCCAAATAAGAGTATTATTCTCGCGAAACGCTTTTTTTGAAATTTTTTTGTATAGCTTTTAATAGGCAGCTATCAAACGCGTATGTTACAAACGAGGGAAAAAAGCGTTATAAAAATATTCGATTTTAAGGTTATGTTTGTACAACAATATATTCTACAGGGTGTTATGTAATTAATGTAATTTATTAAAATACTGAATACCTTTTGATATAAGGTGTAACGAAAACATATTTAAAAAAATATTTTACCAAAGATAAAGAAAAAATATACATTGGTTTTTTATATTTTTTGTGACACGCCACTGGTTACATACTGGTGTTCTGTGATTACATAGATACCAACCAACAAAGTAGCTGGGCATTGCTAGTTGTAAAAAATTGTTACCAAAAATTTGTCTTGCCAAAAATAATTCAAAACTCAATAAATAAAAAAGTTTTATGCCCTTAAAGCTCTAATAGCCTTGTATACTCATCCAGCTATTAGCTTAAGCAATGATTAGAAAATTTAGTACCTATTTTAAAAACTCCATAACCGCAAAATTAATTTTTTTATCGGTTTTTTCTTTCTGTTTACTAAGATGAAATTAGTTCAACATTCAATTTGTGTAAATAAATCCAAAAGCACTTCCCTTATATTTACAATTTGAGCACATAACCTAAAACTGAAAGGAATGCACTAGATTCTGTCATAAACGTTGACAGATTTTGTTTGAATTTACCTTCATTACAAAAATGACGTAATACACAATTAATAAAAACGCCAAATTAACAATTTGCATTGTTGATTTTGTCATTTTTTTAATTAGGCTAAATTTAAACAAAATTTTGCAACTTTTTTGACAAAAACTGGAAAGGCTGGTTGTTGCCAACCATAATATAATAAATTAAATTATGCAACCAGATTAGCCTAAAGTTTCTAGTTGATCACTGGAGTATTCTTTGGTAGGATAAAGGTTATTATAAATAATTTTTATTCTTACATAACATTCACACAATGTTATCGAACACCACCAGATGGCGCGCGCGTTGCGCAGTAGGCAATAGGCTGGTTAAAAAAAATCAACTATTTTTTTTTCCTGAAATTTCGCACATTTCGACTTTGAATATCTTTTGACCTCGTTGGTTTATCGAAAAATGATAGGAGACATTTTTTGTAGAGCATAAAAATCTGCTAATTAGTTTGTGAGCTAGAAAATTATAAAGAAACAAAACAAAATATCCCATGTTATTTAAATGGGAAATAGAAATTTTCGATGCGCGACCTCTAAATATTAAAATTAAGAGCTCCGGTTTTCACAGGTGTCTTTTTTTTGGTACCGTGAAAAAATTTCAGTGCAAAATTTTAGAAGAAAAAAAATAGTTGATTTTTTTGAAGTAGCCTAGTAGGCAAGATACATACACCTTTCAGTTCAGTAGGTGCCAAAAGTGACATCTATAAAAAATCATCATCACCATTATGCACATTGAAAACTGTCATTAACACAATCATTTCGCTCCCATCTCCTCCCGTCCGAAAACTAATTTTAGCTTTACAAGGTGTCGAAGAGCCGCACGAAAGAAATACGGCGTCTTCGAAACAACAAGCGGCCGACCGTAGGATCGAAATACAACCAGCAGAAGACGAAGACGGTAAAAAAATATTAAAAAAAAAACCAACATCAAAAATCGATTTTTTTTATTTTAATTTATTTAGATCCCGATGACGGTTATTCGGTAAAACACGTCAGCTACGCCAGATACTTGCGCAACCACCGTCTAATCAACGAAATTTTCTCCGAAAGTGTCGTTCCGGACGTCAGATCAGTCGTAACGACAACGAGAATGCAGGTGTTGAAAAGACAAGTGCAATCTTTAACGATGCACCAGAAAAAATTGGAGGCCGAACTCCAACAAATCGAGGAGAAATTCGAGGCCAAAAAGAAGAAGTTCATCGAAACAAGCGAGTTGTTTCAGGAAGATCTGAAAAAGGTATGTATATTCTATATTAAAGATTAATCATCTTAGTCCAAGAACTTACCTATACTTATTTGGATATAATTTCAATGTTAGGTGCAAGGGTAAACTTATTCTTATTTCAAGAAAAACTATCATATTATTTTAAATGCAAGCACCCTCAAATAAAATATACACTATGCTTAATTTAAGAATACGTTTTTTTGATACAAATGTTATAATTCTCGGCGATACAATATTTACTTTTGGATAAAATCTTATGTAAGTTAAGCAATAATTGTTTCAAATATTGTCCATTCCTTTTTTAACTTTTGCTTGACTTTAAATAAAGGTTAGGATATAATGACCAAGTTTATTTCAAAAGGTAAAGAGTGCATTATGCTATCTCTTTTTTTCTAAGACTGATAGAGAAAAATAGATAGGATAATACACTATTTACCTTTTAAAATAAACATGGTCATTAGGGTTTTTTTGTTTTTTTCTCGGAACCACGCTCAAAAGTTTCGTATAGATATAAGCATCGTACTTTTCGATTTTCCATAGGAATAACATAGGAAAAATTATTTTTGTTTCTTTTTATTTTTGTAATTAACGAACAATAGGTCGTACTGTAAAGTTCTTGACATATTTTTGTAGAGAATTAAACGCTCTACAAAAAAGTTTTTTTTATGATTTTTTGATAAATTTGATCCTTCTAAAGAAATTTTATGTCAAAGTTCAAATTATACGAAATTTTTGGGTTTTTTAACTTTTTTGGCGAGTCCACCCGACTCATTTAAAAATTATAAAATTATAGTTTAAACTAAACATATTTGTTAAATAGAACCGCTTGCCTTTTGATTTACATCATAAAAAATTGGAAAAAGAATAACCCTGCAAGCTATTTATGGAGCTTTTCGAGATCGTAATATCGATAGTTATGTTTTTCCGAATTTCCAGAGCTCAAACAATATTTCGATTCGTTTTTAGCCCTTTGATCTTTGAATTGGAGTTTTTTCGGGAAAACGACTAAATTGAAGGTTAATTTCACTCTAACCAAGTTAACTTACCGAAAAATGACTTTTGTAGAGCATTCAATTCTCTACAAAAATATTTCAAAAAATTTTAAATTAGTCGGTTAGAAAAAAAGTTAAAGAACCCAAAAATTTCGTATAATTTGAACTTTGACCTTAAATTTCTTTAGAAGGAGCAAATTTATCATAAAAAACCTTTTTTGTAGAACGTTCAATTCTCTACAATAATAAGTCAAGAACTTAACAGTACGACCTACCGTTCGTTAGTTACAAAAATAAAAAGAAACAAAAATGAATTTTCCTGTTATTCTTATGGAAAATCGAAAAGTGCGATGCGGAGCATCTTAATTTTGAAATTAAGAGAAAATTTTTTCACAGGCACTTTTTTATATCTATACGAAACTTTTGAGCGTGGTTCCGAGAAAAAAAAACAAAAAAAGGGTTTTTTTGAATCACCCTAATAGTCATTATATCCTAACCTTTAAAGTCGAGCAAAAGTTAAAAAAAAGAATAGACAATATTTGAAACAATTATTGCTTAACTTGACCTGAAAAAAAATATGATATTGGCCTATAGAATTGTCTTTATTACATTACTTTTTTACATTTTTAATTTTAAGTACTCGCTAAATGAATTTAAAGTTTTCCCATTTAATTAACCCGTAAAAATATTTTTTTTTGCTTAAATTATCTATAGCATAGGAAATTAAATTCTCTACAAAAAAGGTCCTTTACAATTTTGGTGTCAAGACAATAGTTTAGGAGAAAAAGTCGAAAAACCACGATTTTTAAGCAAAAATTAAACCTACCCATACATTTGGTGGTTAATTCTATCAAATTCCACTAATTAAGCAACTCTTTCATAATTCCAAACCAAATATTAACCAACACAAGAAACAATCTTCCAAAATGTCGGACACTTTCGTGAGTGGGGGATATTTTTAAGAATAGGCCAGTCGTACCAATATTTACTAATCTTAGAATAAATATAATTATATTTATATCCAGTATAGTTTTATATCTTTAAGAACAGAATAGAAGGAATTTTCCAAAATTTGGTCTAATTGATTGTTAATCTTAAATTAGGAATAAGATTATTTCATTTAAAGTCTTCCCTAACATTTATTTAACAGGCAAGAATAAAATCTGCTTGTTTAAAGAAAGTTTAATGCTAGTTTTAGCCTTTACAATATTAGGTCAATCATCTTGTTTCAGCTGTACTTGATTTTAAGCTAAGAAATAAATTCTTTTTAATTTAAGGGTAGGTTAATATTTAAAAGAAATTTAATGTATTATACTTAAATCAAGTGAAATTTTTCAAGAATAAAAGTATTCTTACATTTAGAAAACATTTTTTTCCGTGTATGATGTAAAGTCAAATAGACTTTGGTTTCACACTTTACATTTTAGCATTGCAAACCGGCCGTGGACGAAGATACTTTCCAAAAGATGGTCGAAAGGCAGTACGAAAACTTGACAAAAGAAAAAAACAAAACCAACGAAGAACACAAAGCTAAAGAAAACGGCACTGTCGAACCTCAAAACGGACAAGTCCAAGAAAACGGGCAGACAAGTTCAACGCCGGAGGTAAGTGTGAAATAAAATAAACGATTTTAAATGTCTGTGCTTAGATATTTTTTCACAAACAAAAAACGCTTCTTTACAGAATACAGTTTAGTTGTTTTCAAGTACCGCACTATTATTTCCCTGTTTTCTTTCTAGACAAGCTAATTTGGTTGTTTATGGTTTTTGCATGTTACTAATATCAAATTGTAGATAAAAATGTGTTTTTCACTCATAGAGTTCCACATTTCTGTTTCAAAATCAGCCGGTACTTCAATATATGCAGGTAAAGACATCCCTAACCCCCCTAAGTTCTTTGCGTTGTTTTTGCTTCACCCCCAGATTTCACTTTACACTTTGTACCTATATACAGAAAAAAAAACTTAAAAAAATCACTGGTTATAATATTGCGAAAAAAATTAGGATGCATGAAAACAAAACATACTTTCCATTAATTACTTTCAAAGATACAGAGTTTTGCAATTATTGAAATAAAAACTTTTTTAAAAATCTCGGTATCCCAACAAATCCACGACTTTGCGAGAAAAATGGATTCTTTTTATTTTTTATATAATATACAAGGCGGTACAAAATTATACCACATTCCTGAGACCGAAATATTGCGATATATCTGCCCCAGTTTCACAATAAGTCATTGGTACACGAGTTTTTAATACTATTTTGTATAGGTCGATCATAATTCATTAATAAAATTAAATAAATCTTTAAAAAGAAACAATATCAGTCAAAATAAAACGTCAAGTTTTGTTTTGCCTATTTCGATGCTTCTAAGAGCTATAGACACAGTTTATGTTTAATTCTAATGATTTTATTTACATTTTATGATATAATTTTGATAAAAAAAATCAGAAAGCTAAAAGGGTTGCCAACAGTCTGAAATAAAAAAATCCCTAATTTCAAGGCTTTTAAGAAGCCTTAAGCTTAATTTTCAAGTATACGTTTGTCCGATCATCCGGGAGCGCTCTTATTGGTCCGATTATAATTCGAAAATTATAGCATTTCATCGGTCCCTCAAGTTTCGACTTCGTACGTCTGACGGAGAAAGTTAAAATAATTTTAACTCATTCGTTTTTGACGCCTAACGTTATTTAAAGATAATTTATTTTCAAATCTTTTAATTATGATTGTTAAACTGTTATGCCTTTATTCAATAGGGAGAACAGAAAAAAAGAAAAGACAAACAAAAAAATATGAAGGACCTTCTTTTTCAAAACTATATATTTAAATGTATATTAAGGCTAGAATATTCTTTTTATATGGTATATTTGTTTAATTTGTAAATTTGTTAGACAGATAAGTTCCAATTGTCGACATAATTGTTACTATGCATTAAGCATTAAGTAAATTTAGTTAAGTGAATATGTTGGCCCTTAATTTTTATTTGTCGCCAAATCAATCCGGTAAACGTCATTAAAAAACAGATGCATGATAATTGGAAATTTCTAGTCGGACGATTTTATTGAAAAACGGTCAAACGGATGCATGAAAATTTAGCTTTAGTAGCACTGAAAATAGACAAAAGTTGATAACATTATCAACTTTTGTATTTAAGTAAATTTCGGTCTCAGGACTTTCTTAATATGTTTTGGGTGGTGATGTGTAAAGATTATTATTTTTCCAAAAACGAAATAATTTTTTTGCAGTAGATAATTTTACGATTTTATAGAATTCTATAATAATTCCCTAGTAAAAATATCGCTAAACGCTTCTTTAGCCAATGGAACAAGATTCGGCGGAAAAGGTGGACCCGCCCCCGGCAAAACCGACGAGCAACGGTTCCGTGGAAATGCCGAAGCAACGCGACTCGCCGCCGCCGACCGCGCCGTCTCCGAACCCGCCCCCGAAACCGGCCGAAGCGCCGTACCCCAGCCACCACCTGCACCACCAACAGCCGCCGTACAACCCTCACGCTGATCAGCCGCCGCCGCACCACGGACCGCCGCCCCAGCAGGATCCCGGCCAGATGCCGCCGCCCCATCCGCCGCAGATGATGGGCGCGCCGCCGCCCCACATGGCGCCCGGCCATCCTCCGATGGGCCACCCGCATCAGCCGCCCCCGCAAGGCATGATGCCGCCCGGGCAGTACCAGCAGCCCTACCCGCCCCCAGGTAGGATTCCGTCGTTTTTGTTTTAAACAACAGGGTTCCCGTTTGTCATAAAATTTTTAAATATCATAAAATAGGTTAAATTGTTCTAAAATGTCATAAAAACTAAAGATGGGAAAATTCCCATTTGACGAAAATTCCCAGAAACTTTCCATCGAAAATTCCCGAAGTTTCAAAAAAAAAAAATTTATTGCGAAAATATTTTTTTTATGCCAGGGATTTGCAAAAATATATAATTAACTTTTTGTTAAATTTTATAAATTGCTTGAGCAAATATTTCTTCCAATTTTTCCCGTTCATTAGGAGACATATTATCAACAAATCCTTTTATGTTTCCAGTACTGGCATTGCTACTTTGTGGTCTCTCTTCTTGACTCTCAGTAGAATTAAAATTTTGTATGAATAATCTTACTTCTTGTGTGGCACAAAAACACTTTTATATGTTGGACCATTTTGGTTGCATTAATGACATAGATTTTCTTACAGAACTTTTTTGTTTTTTTGCACTATTTTGTAATAATTCCAAACACTAGATTTTTCTCTTGGCATTGTGCTATGCCTATAAATAAACAACAAAAATGTAAGAATGATTTTATAACTTTGTTTATTATTTTTATTTGTTTACCTTTTTTTAAATAAGTTTTTTGTGATGATGCTGAATAATCCGGCTTCATTGAGGTTATGTAACATAACTTACATTATTTATACTTCTTCTGCTTTAAATTAACACACATTAAATTCTTATTCAAAGTTTCTTGGGCTTGTATCATGGCCTTAACGAAAATCAGCGGTTAAACAATTGACATTTAAATGAAAAAAAAAGGAAAGTTTCCAAGGAATGTTTCCGTTAGCTTAAAAGAAAATTTCAAAATAAAAATAAATTCCCAATTGGAAACTTTCCAAAACGGAAAGTTTCCTTAAAATGGAAACTTTCCGATTCCCATCTCTAATAAAAACTACATTTTGTAATAGAAATCATAAAATTTCATTATTTTTGAACAATTTTCTCACCTTTGATCTTTTTTATAGAATGGAAATTTTGTTAAATAAACTTTAAAGCCGGTCCTGGAAAATAAAACGCAATAATGTTTTAAAAACGGCCTTGGTTGTTGACGTATAAACTTCATACTATGAAGGAAAACTTTGTTTAATCTATGGGAATTTCAAAATTTGAAATAAATAATGAGAATGGTAAAGTTATTTTTTTTACTGTATTACTTTAAAAAAGGAAGGCAGAAAGCTCAAACGCAAAGAAGGACTTGAAGAAATTGATAGTAGTTTGGCAAGTTAGGAAGCAGAGTTAAAAATAGCAAGAAATTTTATTTCTGAAGGAAATAAGAAATTATCAAAGTACCTTAACAATAAGATTACTCTTAAAAAATCTAAAATATTGGAGGCTCAAACAATGATTAACATGGGTCTCAAAAAAGCAAAAAAAAATAGTATGCGGTTTTATTTATTTTGAGATTATAATACCTATTATAGTAAGATACTAAAGTAACATATATTAAAAATATAATAGAAGAAATATTTATTTTGATGCGAGAAAAAATATTTACTTTTATATAATAAACCGTTAAAAAATTAAATTATTTATTATTATTATTATTAAAAAAAAGTAGCAAACAATGCTGGGAACCCTGTGTTTATTATTTCTCCCAAAAACACATTTTGAAAATTTCACGCAGGCAACCCCCAATCGGTTCCTCTGCCCCCGCGGCCGCCGCACCCCGGCTACGGCGGCTACCCGCCTCAGCAGGGCCCGCCCCCGCCGCAACAGGGTTACCACCAAGGCTACCCGCCGCCGCAAGGTCAGTATCCGCCGCACCAGTACTATCAGCAGCCGCCCCCGCAACAGTACCCCGGATATCCGCCGCCGCCGCAGCAGCAAGCGCCGCCGCGGCATCCGTATCCCGTCGAAGGGCAGCCGCCTCCGATGGGGCACGAGGGGCAGATGTACGGCGGGCCGCCCCCCGCGGAGGCGGAGAGGGTGCAGCAGTTGGAGGAGATGCCGCCCAACGACGAGGCTAAAGGTTAATTTCATCATTTTTATTACAGCATTTGCGACTTAACCAATCAGAATATGGCATTCTCCACAGCGCACTAGATTGCGACAGAGAATGCAGTGCTCTGACTGGTTAATCAATTCCGAATTGATTAACCAGTCAGATCACCGCATTCTCTGTCGCAATCTAGTGTGCTGTTGGGAATTCCATACTCTGATTGGTTAAGCAATTTTGATAGAAACCATGTTCTAAAGAAAGCAAAGTACGCAATTTAATATTTGTTTTGTTACAGACATGGGGGATTCCAATAAAATGGAAACAGATGAAAAATAAAGTGAATCTTTAACATTTTTATTTTATTCATATTAGTGGTGGTTCCAGCAACTTTTTATAACATTCTTTTATTATAATAATTAATAATAAGTCCAAAATGGTGCTTTTATTACACCCATTATTTTAAATTTACTTTATATTATAAATTGTGTACTTTTATTTTAGATTTAAAAAAGTACATGATAATATTTTCAGGTAAGTATATTTTTTAAATTTAAATTACTTTTTTTTAATTGTAGGTAGGTACTTTTTTTGTAAGTTATATATACGCAATAATATTTGAAGTTAAATGCATAATAACTATGAAATTTTGTATATGTAATTAATATTACAATCTTCAATATTTTTTAAATTATTAAAATTTCCACAATTTAAAAAAATTTAAGAAAAAAAAAAGAACCGCTTCGGCAGGATTTAAAAAAAAACAAAAACATCAGAAAAATAAGAATTTTGGATTGTACAAAACTTTTAGGGTTCACTAACAAAAATACGGTCTTTAACACCATATTTTTAATTTACTTAAAAAATTATCTAAAAGTTATTTTTAGAACGTTTTTTTTATTATTTAATTAAAGGCCTTTAAGAATATTTTTTTGAAACACGTAAACTGAATCAGTTTAACTGATACATAAGTTGAAGTATTTTTATACAAAATTTCATAAAGATTGGTGAAGGCATTTTAGTTAGAATTTTTTTTACTTATTATGCGTTAATTTTGACGGGCAGTGTATACTTTTTCTAGGCAAAAGATCATGTCCTCTGTTGCTGCCTGAAATCGTTTTTCCTACTTACTTACCTTTTTTGTGAAGTTTATTTACATATAACTTTTTTATTACTTGATTGTATAGTACATACCAGGGATGTGACGAATATTAGCATTCGCAAAAATTGATGCGAATGTTAGAAAAAAGCTTTTAGGGATTATAAATAAAACAAGTCATAATTTCCGTTTATATATTAATTATAATTAATTTATATACAAGTGTATAATAAAATTTAAATATTATACCTACAAATAATTGTTAATATAGCAACTATAACAAATGTCTATGTATGTAACCGTAATTATTACAATACAGCTTGTAAAATGGCATAAATAACTATACAAATATATTATGGCAATAATAAATAAACTATGGCTAAGATCATAGAACCAAAAAGTAAAAAATTTAGTTGGACAAATAGACTAGAAAAATAAACACTAAAATTTTTCCGAAAACAAAAATACAAGGAGAAAGTATACACTTTGTATACATTATATTGGATAAAATGTAACATGTAACACCCAATGAAATTGATATTTCACTAGTGTATACAGCGCGTTCCAAATCGCTGTATATTTAAGTTATATCAGTCTTTCAGGAAATACTATAAGGGGTTTCCTTTACCTATTTTTATTATCCATATTGTAAACATCATTTAATTCGGATTATTTACAGAAAAGTCAAAAATGGACGTAAACCCATAAGAATTCGCGTCTAACATTCTATAGAAAATTATCCTTACAAACCAATCAGAGCAAATGTCAAGAAACACCCAGATGTGTGCTAAATTTACGAATAAAATTGATATGTGTATAATAAAATTACATATATTTAAATTTGAAAATAACAATTTCATAATAATAAACATTGTAACACCAAGACTATTTTAGAGTTAAATACGCGGCAGATAATTTCAGAATCATCATCAAACAAAATTTTAAAGGATATGTTTAATGCACGAAAAAATTGAGCTCGGAAATTTCATGAGCATATAAAAAATATTGTCAGATTTCATTGATATTTTTATCGAAAATATTCAATTTAAGTACATGGGAGTATATGCGTTGAAGATCTGATTTAAGACAATATAAGTACAAAGTTTAAAAATTGTTCCCAAATTAATAGTCATACATACAGCCATTTAAAGGGAGATCTTTTATTTTTATTCAGAGATTAATTTTATATGTGAACCCTAGAGTGATATTTTTAATTAGATAAAAAATTCTGTGAATTAATTTTAATGGCAAAGTGATATTTTTAATTTAGTGAATTCTGTTTCTTATATTTGTATTTTTTAGTTAACTATATTTGTAAGATTAAACGAACTTACCAAGTGAAGTTCAATCTTAATTATATGTACCATCTCGCCTGAAAAGATCACTTACTGTAGTACCTCTATTTACTCACCTTAACACGCACATCTTTAAAGCTAAATCAAATTTAGCGCCAGATATTCGCTGCAGCGTCACCAACTCCGGCAACGCTGTACTACAATTCATTAACTTTAAAGCCCACATTATTTCGCAACTGAAAAAATCCGGGCCGGGAAAAATATTACATAATTTTAAAAAAGGGTGGGAGTGATCTTTTCAGGCGAGATGGTACATATAATTAAGATTGAACTTCACTTGGTAAGTTCGTTTAATCTTACAATTATATTACCATCTCGCCCTTAAGATCACTTACTGTAGATATTTAAAGCCATTATTGCGAAATAAATCTCTTTAATCTAAATGAACTTAACAAAATAAAATTTACTTAAAAACTAAATGTTTAAGATAGCATTTGCAAAAATTCCTTGAGTTGTTAAGGGTCTATTATAGAATCTTGCAAAAACTTCCGAATCTTTGGTCCATCCTGCTGTGTTGCGGATAATTTCAACACTAACACCCTTTCTATTTGCTGCCGAAACTGCAGCATGTCTCGTACTATGCGCCGAGAACTTGTTGGTATCTATTCCACTATTCTTAATAGCAGACTTTATCCATCTACCCAAAGATTGAGTGGAAGCTTGTCGATATGGTTTTTTATAAGTAATAAACAGTCTGTTTTCTAAACCCCTAATCTTTTTTGTTCTTTCCAAATAAGACCTTAAGGTAGTAGCTGCACAAATTGCTAAGTTTTCCTCGAAAAATGGAAGGAATAAAGTAGGTTGATTTTTCCCCTTTGCTGACGTCTTTATCCTTAAAGGAATCTTTATCTCGATTCCATCCTGTTTTTCTTCAATATTCTCTATCTGAATTAAGGCAAAGGTTTGCAGACGATGAGCCGTAATTAGTGCTAACAAGGTTACCGTCTTTATAGTAAGCTTTTCTAGACTTACTGTCTCATTGGGAAAAATTGTTGTCAAATATTTTAATACAACTGATGGATCCCAGGTTGAATCATAACGTGGAGCAGAGGGTCTCAAGTTGTATATTCCTTTACAAAACCGTTTAATCTTATAGTTATTTCCTACATCAGGGGATATTAGGAAGGACAGCGCTGACCTGGCAGTGTTTATAACACTATAAGAAGCACCATCATTAAACATTCCAGTAAGAAAATTTAAAATAAATGAATCTGTTCCATCAAAAACATCAAATTTGTTTGTTTTACAAAAAAATCCACCATCTCTTCCAGGAACTATTATACTGGCGCAGTGTGGAATCACTAATTGAAGAGGTAATTATTTCTAAGGCTGCTACAGGTAAGTTTTTTCTTAGGAATGACATCCTGATAATACTCCTGCCACCAGGGTAAGGGTCGATGACAGAGGGTGGTATCTGTTAAAGGAAGAAAGCAAGTCTGAATTAGGGCCCAAAATTAACGGATCACTAATTAATAAGGACATAAAAAGTGGATACCATGGCTGATTAGGCCAATTCGGTACAACAAGTATTCCCAAGGCCTTATCAAAATTTATTTTTTGTAAAACTCTTGGAATCAACGAAAAAGGAGGAAAGGCATAAAAATAAATATTTTTCCAATTGAAAGTGAATGCATCTATAGTAAAGGCCTCTGGATCTCTTTTCCAGGAAACGTAAATACTGCATTTATTATTATTTCTACTAGCAAACAAATCGATATATGGTTTGCCAAAACTCGACAAAATCTTTTTAAAATAAATTGGTGCTAAGGACCATTCAGTTTCCAGCGAAACTCGACGTGATTCTTTGTCTGCCTCAAAATTTTCCGAGGACTTAATATACGAAGCGAAAATCCACAAATTACGGGCTTCACACCACCTCCAAATTTTTCTTGATAATTTGTGGAGATTAGGAAATTGTATGCCCCCCATTTTATTTACGTATGCAATAGCTGTGGTATTATCCACACGGAGCAAAATTTCGCAATCCCGCATGGTACTGGCAAAACATTTTAAGGCAAAGAAAACCGCTAAAAGTTCTAAGTAATTTATATGCATACGGCTTTCCTCCAAATTCCATTGTCCATGAGCTTTATCTTTATCACAGACCGCTCCCCACCCAGTAGTGGAAGCGTCTGAAAATATTTCCGTTTGAAAATTAAATTTTCTAATTGGACAAAAGGAATTTACAATATTTGAGTGCCACCACTTTATGTCCTGTAACACCGAGTGTGGTAGCGTTGTCATAGCTTCAAAATTGTCTTTTGACTTTAGTAGAGCTAAAAATTTATGTCGTTCTAACAATTTTGTGTAAAGCCAGCCATATTTTGATGCCGGGCAAACGGAGATTAATGTCCCAATTATCTGAGCTAGAAACCTTATTTTTACATTTGGGTTTTGTAGAACCTCTTCTAATAATTTTTTAATACGGAACTGTTTTTCTTTTAGCACCCCCAAGGACATATTATCTGAATTAAAAAGAAAACCTAAAAATTTACATTTTTTGCTAGGCTTTGTTACACTTTTATTCTCATTAATAATAAATCCTAAGTTAGTTAACAACTTTGATGTTTGTTGAATATTTACGAGACAATCTCTATAAGATTGACCAAAAATTAATATATCGTCTAAATAGGCTACCGATAAAAAACCCCTCTTTCGCAAAAAGGCCAAAACAGGTTTCATTATTTTTGTGAACACCCAAGGTGCTATGCTTAACCCAAAGGGAAGACAATTAAATTCATAATAGACATGATTAAATTCAAATCTTAAGTATTTTCGAAATTTTTTGGCTATAGGTACCATAAAATAGGCATCCTGTAAATCTAAGGTGGCCATATAGCAACCTTGTTGCATTAATTTTGCAGCAAGTTTTTTGTCCTCCAATTTAAAATGTTCAGGATTTAAATTTTTATTTAAGTTTTTTTAAATTTAAAATAAACCGTTTTGATCCATCAGGCTTTGGCACTAAAAAATAAGATGACAAAAATTGTCCTTTACAAGGAGAACATATAGAGATGGCACCTTTATTAATTAATTCAAGAATGTTTAATTTAAGATCTTGAAAATCTTTAACCGACCAAATTCGGTGTTGCAAAGGAACTGATTGCCTAACAGGCACAGTAAATGGAATCTGTACACCCCTGATCCACGATAAAACAACTGGATCCAATGTAATTAATTCCCAATTTTTTATGAAAAATTTTAGTCTACCTGCCTTTTTTGTTGGAGCAATTATTTCTGACGATAATTGTATCGGTTGTTCAGAGGTTGGTGGTTGCTCCTGGAATTCAACTTGCTTCTCGATTGACTGTAATGTTGGCCTGTTTTCTGTCCCCCTTGTCGAGCCTGCTGATAATGTTGACGAGGAAGACGCTTGTAGTTTAAATGTTGTGGTTGCAGTACTTTTTTGTTTGAAAATTTTGACGATGTTTTAGGTTTTTTAGTCAGTTTTAAATCCTCTGATGTTTTAGCTAAAAGCTTCGCTGCTTTAATACGTTCAGTTAAATTATTCCCAAACAACCAGCCATCCATTGAGGATTCAACTAATGTGTCAGCCATTTCTTTATTAAGAACACCCTTTAACAATCCACGCCTTGCCTGAGATTGTTCATAATGAACATCTGCAATTAATTTTGCAGCATCACTAATTAGTTTTATTACTGTACATTTGGGTTCTTCTAACTCCTCTGAAAAGAGGATAGATAAAGCACTGCCTATAGAAGACAAAGCTGAGCAAAGACGATTCTGAATGGCTAACAGGCGTGAGTCTCGGGTTAAAGACGATTCACTTACTGAAGCTTTTATTTCTGGATTAACCCTGGGTGGTTGCATCAATGGACAGTTTGAAAAGGCCTGGTATTTAAGAAGTAATTCTTCCAACTGATCTTTGGCCAAACCATCCTGTAGAATTAACTTCCATACATCAGCTAAAGATTTATGAATAGTGCACTCTGTCTTTTTTGTTGATGGATCTAACCCAATAATTTTTAATATATTTTCCTCCAAAGGCGGCTCCTCCTCCTTTTCTTCTATCAATGATTCATCTTGAGATTCTGAAAAAATATTTATATGTAGGTATATACCTTAAATTGTGTTACAAACAATTAAAGATCTACATAATAAAGAAATATACAATTTTTTGCTATTATTAACCTGGCATAATACGCCATTATTGCAGCATAAAATGCTTTATTAAGTATGTAACACCCCCATTAACAGTTTACCAATAATGGTGTAACCTGGCTTATAGGTTAGGTTATAATATATTTACACTTTTTTTTTTTTTTTTTTTTTTTTGCTGTTATTAATCTGGCGTAACACGCCATTTTGCAGTATAAATGCTCTATTAACAGTGTAACACACTTAGTAATAGTTTTCCTATTTTGGCGTAACACGCCGGTTTATAGGTTAGGTTATATTTACAGCTTTTTTCTGTTATTAACCTGGCGTAACACGCCGTAATTGCAGCATGAAAAGCTGCATTATTGTGTAAAACACCCATTAACATTTTAACTATGTGTTGGCGCATAGAAAAATCAAAATTATTTCTCTATGTCTTGGCGTAACACGCCGATTTTTTACCATATATTCCTTTATTATCTAAAACAATAAGTTTCAAATAAAACAATTAGATACTTACTATTACCGAGGGTTTGCTCGGAATAGACTGAATCATAGTCGTTTTCTTTGTTTTCATCCTCCAGAGGCTCCAGTAATGGCGACGCCCCTCTATTTTTCTTTTCATTTCGTAAGTATCGTTTTAATCTTCGAATTTGACGTCTTACTTCCTCTTCTGAATCCGTAGAGTCAGACGAATCTGGTGATCTACTTCTTTTTGGCATTTTAATAAATTTTTCACAGTTTTTGGCAAAACGCGTGTGTGTTTTGGTACGCACAATAGAGTAATGAATTGTAGTACAGCGTTGCCGGAGTTGGTGACGCTGCAGCGAATATCTGGCGCTAAATTTGATTTAGCTTTAAAGATGTGCGTGTTAAGGTGAGTAAATAGAGGTACTACAGTAAGTGATCTTAAGGGCGAGATGGTAATATAATTTTAATCAAAAATACCATAGGAGAAATTTTTAAATGTATTAAAAATATCATGGGAGATATTTTTATTTCGATTAAATTTTTATTTTATTGAACATATTTTTAATTGAATATGATATTTTGAATTCTGACTGATTGAAAGTTTGGATACCCCTGTTATTCCAAACGTGCCGCCATCTAGCAACAAAATTAGTTTGGAATACCAGGGGTGTCCAAACTTTCAACCTGAATTACAAATATCCCATTTAATTAAAATATCTGCCTATTTTAAAAAATAAAAATTTAAATGAATTAAAAATATCTCCTAGGATATTTTAATACATTTAAAAAATGTTTGATATTTTTAATTTAGCGATTTATAAATATGTGTTTAGCAAAAAAATACAAATATAAGAAGCAAATATTAATTAAATTAAAAATATCAGTTTTTCTTAAAAATGAAATCGAAATTTTAATTAAGCGAATTAAAAATTTGTGTTTAACAAAATATACAAAGAAAAAAAACAGACATTTTAAATTAACTAAATTAAAAATATAAGTTTGGCATAAAAATTAAATCAAATTTTTAATGCTATGATTTTTTAAAAATTAGGTATTATTTTTATGCTAAAACAATATTTTTAATATATTTAATTTAAAATATTAACTTCTTTTAATTGTTTTTTGCTAAACACATATTTTTATTTCGCTTAATTAAAAATATCTGCTTCTTGTACAAATTTGTATTTTTTAGTTTAAGACATTTTTCATTTGCTAAATAAAAAATATCATAGGAGACATTTTTAAATAAATTAAAAATGTGATTGTTCCGCCATCTAGCGACAGAATTAGTTTGGAATACCAGGGGTGTCCAAACTTTTGATCCGAATTAAAAATAACACAATAATGCATTATTAATATTTTTAATTCATAAAAAATATAATGAATTAAAAATATCTCCCATGATATTTTTAATTTGGCGAAATAAAAATATAAAAAACGGTTATTTTAATATCGCTGAATAAAAAATAAAACGGTTTAATGACGCTTGAAAGTAAAATGGAATTTTATAATTTCCTTCCTTTGTGTAAAGTTGTGTAAAAATGACGTAAAATCCTCCTGTTGAACAATTTAGAATATATCATAAGCCAATCATAATATGTATAAATATTTTATATACAGTGTTGATATTTAGTAATATCTGGAATAATTCAGAGAGAACCGTTCTTCAAAATTAACAATTTAAATTTTAACAGTTCTGGAAATTCCCATAATTCAAAAAATGTTGGTAATTAGGACTGTGAGGTACCCAAAAACCGCTCTCCTTCAGTCTCAATCGAATTCGAAAAACATTTTAAGTATCCTCCGCGTCAGAGGGCGCATCCAGCGTCGTGTGCACCGTCACGCTCACCCCCCTGTTGATGCTGATGGCGGGGTAGAAGACCCCGTACAGATTCTTGAAGGCGACGTTGCCTTGCGGCTCGTCGTTGACGTAGTACGAGAGGCAGTGCTGATTTAGATCCAGCAGCACGCCAATGGTGGAACCGGGCTGAATTCCCCCCTCCACCCTCTGCTCATGCGCGCCCGCGTGCTGGAACCACGAGCGCTGCCGGTCGATGTACATCGCCCAGCCTTTCTCGTCTTTGCCTTGAAATTAATTAAAGCGTTTTAGTTTAATTTAATTTAACTATGGAACGTCGTTCCCATTTGCCTATATTGTGCTATAAAAAATTAAAACTTTTATAGAGAAAAGTTAAATATTATATATAGTTTTTGCAATTATCGTTTATTGCAAAGAGTTGTATGTACACTGTTGTATGTTGTATTGTATTGCAATTTTAATACGCATTTGTTGTAATTAGAGATGCGACTTGAAAAAAAAACGGTTTTTTTGTTTTTTTTTCATTGTTTTTTTTTCAAATGGTTTTTTTCATATTTTAGGGTTTTTGAAAGATTAGTCCCATTTGCCTAATTTTTTATGTTTCCAGTTCTTGGACTAAAATTAGCAACTAAATGACATTTAGTAAATGTAAATACAGTCTCGCGCTTTGCACGCGCCACCACCACCGAATTGACCAATAAGGGCCGCGCTTGTTTTGATTTGGTCCTAAAAAAAGTAACTATCTATAATATTTTTGATTCAGCGCTTGATATTTCAAAAAGCTACCAAAAGCAAATTTTTCATGATTTTTGAAATTCATGTAGAGAATGGAATTTTAAAAAAAAAAAAAAACAATAGCAAGTCAGAACATTCCGTGGACCAAAAAAAAAGCCAACAAAATTTCGATTTTTTTTAATACGGTATTCGTTAGCATTGAGCGTTGCACGTTTTTCATTTAAAAATCTCAAAACTAAAAACTTCAAGCTTCAAATTGCTTTTTTTAACGAAGATACATACATACAGCTATCCGAAAAATCGCAAATCCCAAGAAATCAGATTTTTTAGTCTCGGTCAAAATTTTCAATAATAATAATAATAATAATAATGAAATGTATTCTACATTTCACTTTATTATTAATATACATTTTACTCAAAATTTCATTTTGAAAAATTACTCCATTTTTTAAGATTGATGTTATTTATTGACAGAATATGCTTTATTATAGCGGATTTGAAAAAAAAACAAAAAAAAAAACGTTTTTTTCGTTTTTTCACATCTGAAAAAAAAACGTTTTTTACATCTCTAGTTGTAATATTACATTTTGTTATAGCCAAAGTACTAAACAGGTTCCGATTTTACAATGTTTTTGTCAGATACTTATAGTAATTTTACAATTCTTTAGAATTGAATTTGAAATTTTGTAAAATTTCTATACATATTAGGAATTTAATTTTACTAAGATAATCAATAAAATTACTAACCAAAATTTGCCATTTGAATTCCAATAAGTGTTTGGAAATATACAAATCATTATTTATTTTATACAACTTCTGTTTGCATTTTTACTACATATCATTTTAATCATGTACACTGTTACATTTTTTTGTAAAATTACAATTGTTTTGCAAAACAAAGGATGAGTAAAATTACAAATCAGTGTATACCAACACATAATTATAATACAAGACATGTTGGGAAATCTACTAAGATAAGTTGTAATTTTACAATCTACATGTATAAATCCTACACGCATTGTAATTTTACCAAACAGTTTGACAGTTTCTAATAAAAAGCATCTCAGATTTACAAACGTGATGTTACTACATCTCGCCTCGGTCGACTTAGGTGGACAGTATATAAGCTCAGGTGTCTTTCGTTTTAGGTGTGTTCCAATACACCAAATTGCCCGACATTGATAAGACCCAAAATAGGTCTATCTATCTATCTAGCTGTCTGTCGGTATTTGAAGTTGGTGGAACCGTTCCACTGGAACGCACTTAAAACAAAAACTCTGGCGAGGTGAAGGTTCAATTTTTTTAAATCTTTACAGGAATGGGTCAAGAAAGTTTCTTGAAGAAACTAAGAAAATTGCAGGATTTTTTGGTAGTATAATTACAATACCATCATTCGTAAATTACTAAATATTTTTAGTGTAATTTGTTGTACAAAATAACAATATTTGTATTCAGTTAAATTGTAAAATATATTTTGTAATTTTTTTAACTGAGTTGAAATGAATTGTATAGTATAATAACAATACACCATATTCTTAGCAAAATATTTATAGTAACGTTACTGAACAAATTTTTAATAAATGCTTAGTGAATTTCAACAAACGTTTTTTAATTTTCCTAAATTAAGTTGTAATGAATCGTGTAGTGAATTTACAAAACTGAGGTTTGTTATTACTATATTGTGGTGCGTAAAAACTTCCTAAACATGTTTAGTAAAATTACAATAGAAATTTAATTCACATTAAAATTTGTCTTTGGGTTTTTGCAATAAACTACATTTGCCAAAACTATGTATAATATATAACTTTTTTCCATAAAAGCTTTACTTTTTTCCATATAGCACAATTGCAAGTTATTAAATAATAAAACGTTTGATAACTATTAAAGATTAAATAAATTTCAAATTGGCGCACGCTGTTTTACAATTTAATATAACAAGTTGCTCTATGTTATTAAATAGTAAAACGGCGTTCCATATACAACTACCTATGTAGATAAAAAACAAACACAGTTCTTTTGAAGAAGTTGCTGTGTGAGCAAAACAATTGTCAAAATTAAATTAAAATAAATTCGTGAAACTCAAAAAACAGTGTTGGCTGTTTATCTAGTATTGTTAAAACTTCTTACCTAACATTTTATCCCTGGCGACGTCTATTCTGGCGATACCAAACGCCGGGTCAGTGTCGGCATCGAATTTGTCGACGCTGAATTCCCAGTAGTGAACGCCGCGACTGAAACCGACGCTTCCTAAGGCGACTCGATGCTCCCAACCCTCACCGGTGACGGTGGTACTGTCTTCGGAATATTGCAACCCAGGCCCGGACAGGATCTGATCGAAGGTAAACCAAGCAACTGGAAAATATATCACGCAGTTCGTTATACCTCGTTTTATAACGCGTGAACACTATAATAGCTTGTAAGATCGTGGCGTAAGAAATGTGTGGCTGTGCGTATAAAAGAGAGAGATGTAAGTAATCCTACTTAATTTCTTCACAACTTCCTTGTTATAAGTATTAAATGAAAGGGTTTGACGAGTACAAATCCATGAGGTGATCATTTTATCTATTTTCTACTATTTCTTTTATTAAAAAAAATTATAAAAATAGTTTAAACTGTATTGATCGTTTTACAGAAAATTTAAGTCGCATGTCGGGTTGTCAAAAGTTTAACAAAGAAAAATTTGATGGTTTTCAAATGAAATTGCATGTTTAACGTATACAATGAATAAGTAAATAAGGTGCCAGGCACTGAAATAAGATGCATTGTTTTATAATTTAAGGTATTCCTACAATGTACAAAAGTTACATTAATCATAGAGAAAATGTCACCTAGACTTTTTAGACAATTACCTATTTAAAAACAATAAATTAAAAACATTTACCACATACCTATTCCAAGTGTGAATTCAAAAATTGTCAACAATACATTTAAAGCATACGAACTGTGCACACATCATTTTTAAATAAATAAGTAGGTAGGTTTTTTTACAAAAGAGAGTCTTTACGTTGCAAGTAAAAACTAAAAAACGTTGGTTTAGTACTCGATTTCGATTTAATGTTCCTTATACATTGATTAAGAAACTCAACGCTTTTATGCTTATATAGTTACGTTAACGTTAACTAATTAGTGTGTGTATTTTATCTAAGGGATCTTGGTGAATTATTGTGTTTTTAATTGTAAATAAAATTCAAGAACTAAAACTGCATGTTCATGTTTTGCCAAAGAATCCATTTCGGTAAGTACATTTGTTGGTGCAGAATTTACTAATGATAACTTTATCTAATATAATTTATATTTAAGTTTGGACTTTTTAGAAATTAAGAAAAACTAATTGTCGTACAAACATAACCTTAAAATGGACTATTTTTATATTTGAGTTCTCTAAAAACCGCCGTCAACTGCATTTAAACGACAAAATTAACCTGAATTCATGGCAACATAATATTATATATAATACATAATATAATACCTCTTCTTGGTATTTTACTGTTGAGTGGAGACTTTCTTAATCAACGCTTTTAATAATGCTAAATGCTGTTTAAATTTAGACGACTAATTTGTTTTATGATTTTTACTGAATTAAAATGTTTACAATTTTCACTTAAATCATTATTAAAATGTGTATTTATATTTTCAGGGAATGTATGCAATTTATTTATTCATTCCGATTTTCACTGTTTATTGGGAAACCGGTAATTAAACTAATTTTAAATAAACCTAAACAATATCACACATTAGAATTATTTAAAGAATTTTAAGTCATGACTATCAATTGTATGCCAAATCCTGTCTAGTTTACTATTTTAAAAATAAATCCTGCATAAAAAACATTGATCATAACTATAATACCAGACAAAATAAAAATAAGATGACGTGTAACCCATTGGTAAAAAAATCAATTTCCGAAAGACACTTTATTTACTTTATACATAAACTTTATAATAACATGGCTACAGACATAAAAAATTTACATTATTCTCTAAATATTTGCATTATTTATTGTTTAACTTTAAAGTTTTCCTTACAATTAAATCACCCCTTATTAAAAAAGCTGAAATCACCTGTGATGATTGTTTGAGTTTACTATTGAACGATTTATCTGCAATGTTCTTATGTTCTATATTTTAAATGAATATATGGGGCATTCCACGCCAAATCGGATGGTTTCAAAAAAATTTTGTTTGATTCCTCCAATTTTTTTATATTTTTTAGTACTCCTTCAAAGAGCTTTCTCAGTAAATTTGAGATTTTTTTGATCACGGGTTCAAAAGATATCAAATTTTCAAACAAACTTTTTTTTTGTTTTTCGCTCATAACTTCTTAAAAAATGGTCCAAATCAAAATGTTCATTCTATATAAAATTTTCGTTTTTAAATGAACTTTTCGAAAAAAAATATATTGAAAATATTTGAAGCGTTTTAAGTCAAGAATTTTGAGTTTTAAAGTTTAAATCGTGTTTTTAAAAATGTGTTTTCTTCGATTTTAAACTTCTATCTATTCTACAACTATTCAGCCTGGTCCGGTAGTGGGCCTTCCATAATTACTATTTTTTTCTATTTTTCATAATTAAAAAAAAAATTTCACTAAAAATTATTATAAGTTTCGATTTTCGACTCTGTATATTATTTTTTTACTTACACATTTAATTGATTCTGATATTTTTTATTGTTGATAGGGATTTAAAATCAATTAGTTTAAGTTAATTCTATTTATGAGCAATTATAACAAACTTTTTTATTTATTTTCGTGTTCTTTTAAAAATTTGTGACAATTTTTATTTTTATAAAGCTTTTTCTGTAGCAATGTAATTTTTTTATTAATTATTAGCATCTTCATAAATTTTTTTAATTAAATTTGAAAAGACTTGCCCATGTTAATAACTTTCTCACTAGTTGGCGCTGTGGACGCGGTTCCTGACAGTTACGTAGTTTGTTTATTCGTATCATAACCTCCGTTATATTATTCACTATTGGAAGCTTGATTCAGTTGGTTTCTTGTGTTTCTATTTTGAACTTAATAATAAATATTGAAGTATGGAATCAATTTTTTTTTTAATTTTGAAAAATCGAAAAAAAATAGTAATTATGGAAGGCCCACAACCGGACAAGGCTGAATAGTTGTTGAATAGATAGAAGTTGAAAATAAAAAAATTTCGCAAAAATCGAAGAAGACACATTTTTAAAAACACGATTTAAACTTTAAATCTTGACTTAAAACGCTTTAAATATTTTTTTCGAAAAGTACATTTAAAAACGAAAATTTTATATAGAATGAACATTTTGATTTGGACCATTTTTACGAAGTTATGAGCGAAAAAAAGCAGTTTTTTTGAAAATTTGATATCTTTTGAACCCGTGATCAAAAAAATCTCAAAATTTACTGAGAAAGCTCTTTCAAGGGTTACTAAAAAATATAAAAAAAATTGGAGGAATCAAAAAAAAAATTTTGAAACCATCCGATTTGGCGTGGAATGCCCCATATGTAAATGCATTTAAGTTAATTATAAGGGACCTTGTAAATATTAAATTATATATATAATAATAATAAAAAAAAACACCCAACAACACAACAAATAGTGCCACGGTTTTTTTCTTCGATATTTTGAAAGTGGTAGCTAACGAGTCTAAAAAATCGGCTGTCTCGTTAAGTGGCCTTCGCCACCGAACGTATACTCGACGTAACGTAAAACAAACAAGCAAACAAACGCAGCGAGGGGATGATCTCTCGTTAAAAACTCACCTTCGGCAGTCTGTAAACCTATTAGTTCGCTGTAATCCCCTTCGCCTGATCCGTTGAAGGCCTTGACGCGCGCGTGGTACAAGCAGCGGAAGTGGAGCCCGTCCACGGTGCAGATCGTCTCCACGCCGCAGTACACCTCCTGCAAAAGATGACGTAGAGAATGAGACGTATTATGACGTGCTCGTTTAATTAACGCCCGGCCACTCGAGACTTGCTGCTCCTGCTTTAGCAGGGAACAAACAGTTTTTAATGCACGCACGAAGTCGGCAAGTAACGAGCGCGTGAATATGTGGAAAGCTTTTGTACTTTTTTTTAATAAGAGTTAGTTTTAACTGGGTTTTTTATTTAAACTTTGACTCCTTTTATTAAGTTGGCTTTAGGCAGTAATTCATTTCTACTCGTACATTTTTTTAATTCACTAATTGGGGAAAAAAATATAACCGTTTCGGCAAAGGTCAGATTGGGAATTATCAATATTGGTGTAATTCTATACAGGGTGTTATGTTATTAATGTTATATATTAAAATACTGAATACCTTTTGACATAAGGAATAAAGGAAAATTATTTTAAAAAGCATTTTTCCAAAGATAAAGAAAAAATATGCATTAGAAGTTTTTTATATTTTTTGTGATACGCCACTGGTTACACACTTGTTTATCTCCGCACACCTGTATTTTGTGAGTACATAGATACCAACCAACAAAGTAGCTATGCGTTGCCAGATGTAAAAAATTGTTACTAAAAATTTTTATTTACTGATCCAGCTATTAGCTTAAGCAATGATTAGAAAATTTAGTACCTTTGAAATTTGAAATCCATAACCACAAAATTAATTTTTTCATCAGTTTTTTTCTCTGTTTACTCAGATGAAATTGGGACCAGTTCACAGGTTAAACTTTAAACATTTAATTTGTGTAAATAAATCCAAAAGCACTTCCCTTAGTTAAGATATTTACAATTGAAAACATAACCTAAAATTTAAAAGAAATGCACTAGATTCTGTCATAAAAGTTGGCAGATTTTGTTTGAATTTACCTTCAGTACAAAAATGAAATAACCAACAATTAATAAAAACGCCAAATTGACAATTTGCATTGTTAATTTTGTCATTTTTGTAATTAAGCTAAATTTAAACAATGTTTGTCAACTTTTTTAAAAGATTTTGGAAAAACTGTTGTTACCAACCATAACATAATAAATCCACCAGATTAACCTAAAGTTCCTAGTCGATCAGTGGCGTACTTTTTGGTAGGATAAAGGTTATTATAAATTATTTTTAGACTTTGGAATTTAGAAAAAAAAAGTTTCAGGTGCTTCTTTATGGACCCTAAGGAACAACCCATTTTAATATATAACATTAATTACATAACACCCTGTATATCGATAATGCGTCGTAGAGACCATCGATTGTATCGATATATCGATATCGAACTATAGTTCTATCGATAGTTATGTTATAAAAAGAAATATTTACTCGTATAGAAAACGTTTATTTTAAAGATAAGTTTTTATTTTAGAACTGTTTTTTTATAAGGGGGGACCAAGGTTAAATTTGCTTTGAAAAACATGAAATCGAAAATTGCCCAATTAATTTTTTAATATGATTTCTTTACTAATTCGACCTCGCTGATTTCAAAAAAATCAAACCGCAGTTTAGTAACTCTTCGCGTTTGGGAGTTAAGTTTAGTTAAGGGGGGACCAAGGTAGTTTTTTCTGAAAAACATGAAATCGAAAGTTGCCCAATAAGTATTTGTCGAAGAAAAAGTATAGGTATAGGTACTCATTTAATTACGACAAAAAGTCATTCTTTCCCAAGCAACAATTTAAGTATTTGTTACGTATATGGGACTATTGAAGAAACTTTAAAGTGTTTTGCGACAGTCGCCGGTCTCTTTATATTACTCTTTCATTACTAAGTTACGACTAAAGTGGGGAACAATTATTGAGTTCCAAAAAGGTAAAAAATATGCCACTATAGCTATAAAGTATCTGCTACGTTACTAGAACGTTGCAATATCGTTGCTAGAGCGTTATAATTACTTTTATTTATTTGTTTTTACTTCTATATTAACTGTCTTTGTCAAACTTATATTAGATTATACTATCTCTCCTTTTTTAAATGGAACCACTACGGACTTAGCTCTTCAATGTCGTTTATTAAATATGTACTGTAGTTGTAGTTGTAGTTTATAACTTCCAGAATAACAATATAATGATTAATTAGGCAGGTAAATTTATAAACCCTTTTAAATTTTACTGTTGAACTTATGAATTTAGTTTTTGTAAAATAAATGCGCTTCATCAATATTTAAGTATAAACAAATTATTTATTTAATAATGTTTATAAATGAAAAAATCTTAATATTTATTATTAATTTTTTATTTAATTATTAATACCGTCTATTACCAACAAAATTACTATTTATTAAAAAGTAAAGAACCATTTACAAACAATTAAAATAATTTATTATTTACATTACCACATGGCCGATAAGAAGCATTTTCTTTTGAAGTAGTTTTCGCTACCTTAATTTACTTTACGGTAGTTTTGGTTAGTACCATAAACGTTTCAAATACTAAAATAATAACTTTTAAGTTATTAACTTTGTAGTTTTTAAGTCATGTTCCAGTTTCGAGATTTTAACTTGCAAAGGGACCACAAAGTAAAAATAATTATAATGTAATCTTTAGGTAGCAACCGAAAGTAACTGCTACAAATTAAATTTACTTGAAAGTTTTTTTTTACTTTTAACACCTTTTTTAAAGTTGCAAAGTCTTCTTGGGGGCAACCAAGTTTTACTTAAATATTTATTACTTTATAGTAACCATTTAAGGAAAGAATTAAGTTTCTGTTACTAAATATTGCTATTTAAAAATTAGAATTACTTTTAAGTAACTGTTTCGTATACTTAACTAATTTAAAGTTATCACCACTTTGGTAATGGTTTTTGGAACCAAAAATGCTGCTTGGGTTATAAAAAGTTCTGCTCGTTAAGAAAATTAATTTACAATATCAAACTTTAATAATTAATAAATTAGGGAAACATTAAAATGCTTCCAGAGAGAAATACCTTTATTAAGTTTATTCTCGTAAACAAAATACCAAGGTTTATTTGATCGAGTATAGAAGAAAGATTTGTGGAAACGGGATATCTCGGGGTAGGATTACTGGCAAAGCGGAATTTATGGTGTATTTCGAACGGCAAAACGGGCGCGCTGAATCACATAATTAAAATTTGTATCGCCGCCCCCAAAACCATTATTTATCACTGTCGAAGCAAGATTAATGCACGCTGACTCATTTAACGACAATATGGGAATGGGATATAAACTGATACCTATACCATTTTATCCTTCAACATCCCCAAATATTCCACCATTCTGTTCAATAAGCCCAACAACTAGATAAATATATTTATTAAATTTTGTTTATGCTTTAATGTCAACCCAATAGATTTTTCGATAAAAATTATAAAACTTTACTAATAAATTATTTAGTATTTTCTATATATTTTCATTTAAAAACAAGAGGCATGGATAATAAAAAGTTTTAAGTGAGCATTAGACCGACGGGATATAAATTTAACGTTGGCAAGACTTTCTTACTACAAAGGCAAGGTAAAGCAAAACCGTCTGCAGTAGGGAGATAAGAAGTTTTTATTTTTTTTACAGTAAATTTGATTACTACTCATTTGGATGTTATATAACTTGTAGTGACAAAATATTTAAAACTTTTTTTTATGTCTAGACTATATGCATATATACAGGGTGTTATGTAATTAATGTAATATATTAAAATAATGAATACCTTTTGACATAAGGTGTAACAGAAAAATATTTAAAAAATTATGTTTCCAAAGATAAAGAAAAAATATGCATTACAACTTTTTTATATTTTTTATTTTAAAAACTCCATAACCACAAAATTATTTTTTTCATCGGTTTTTTTCTTTATTTTTACTCAAAAGAAGTTTGCACAAGTTAAACTTTAAACATTCAATTTGTGTAAATAAATCCAAAAGCACTTCCCTTAGTGTTTTTTTAACAATAAACAAAAAAAGTATGTGTGCCATTAAAAAAAAAGGTTGCCATAAAAACAAAATAAAAAACTCAAAAACTGGTAATGAAAAAAATAACTTTTATATTAAACTTTATTTTTACTTTGCAAATAAAAAAGTTATATCCATTATTTGGGACTTTTGTTCCACCCTGTATATGTATTATATACTGAGATAAATACTTACATTATACAAGGTGTTTTTTTCAATGGAACACCCTATTTTAATGTGTAATGTTTTTTAATGACTTTTGCTTTGTTTACTTACTCGTAATTTATTCATTGTGAAATTAAATCGAATCTCGGCTGTCGCACATCGCAAGATTTCACATTAATTAATGGCAAAGTTCAAAATTACTTTATATATCCATCTATTTCAGAGTCGAAACAGTGGTGCTCAGACAGTTTTGGAGTTTAATTAAATCAATCTTGAATTAATGTTTACTGTTTAATAAAGCGTTATACAGGGTGTCCCAAAAGTCAACGATATCCTTTGGAGGACTGAGACCAACTCATGACTAAGCAGAAAATCAAAATATGACCTTAGTAAAAAATCGTTAGTTTTTGAGATATAGTCATTTTTATGAATTTTGTAAAACTTGACACCTTAGATCAGTTTTTCGAGTGCCACAGCTATAAAATCTTCTATTAATTTAATTTTGAATTGTAATTAATAGCAATCCTATTCAGGGTTACGCAAAATAAAATATAATCTAAGAATATAGAATGTTGTAGTTGTAGCACTCGAAAAACTGATTTTACGTGTTTTACAAAATTCATAAAAATGCCAATATCTTAAAAAATAATGATCTTTTACTAAGGTCCTGTTTTGATATTCTGATTAGTCATGAGCTGACCTATAAGTCCTTCAAAGGATATCGTTGACTTTTGGGACACCCTGTATATAGCTTTTAAAGTAAATTTTTAAACCTGGCAACTCTAACTATTTTGGTGGCAAAAATAAAGTTTTGGAATGACCTTAGGGGGCCTTGAGATACCGGTAATGGGGACATTTACTTCGTATCCAATTACAAAAGCTCCCAATGAAAAGACCAAAACAGTGTTGTTATTATTATTCTCT